AAACCACCTAGCTGCTTGATCACCGGCTGTGGAATGAGGGAACTGGTGTTTGATCAAGATATGGCAGCAGGACAAAGCCTGGTGTATCCCCCTGAGCCCTGCTGGGACGCCTGCCCTGCAGGCCCGCCTGTCTCCCTCGGGCAGGCACGTTTCTCTCCTTCTCGGTGAACACCAGCTCTCGGTGAACACCAGCTCTGGCTTTGGGGAAACGCCTGCAGAAACGGAACACGCATTCACTTCACTGCCGGCTCCAAAACAAAAACAGGCTACTAATCCAGGATCCCAGACCGTGAACCTAGCGCAAGAGCTCTGATGGTTGGAAGGAGAGGTGATGGGGAGAAGGCATTTTCTTGATTCTTGCTATCAGTGCCCCCCTCCTTCCTTTCCCAGGCGAAGGGGGAGAAGAGAACAGAAGTGGAGTGGTGGAGTGAAGATGGACTCTCACAGCTGAGACTTCCACCATAAAGTAATGGCCATGGGGTGTGCATTTAGCCCTGTGGTTAGGGTGCCCACATCCACATCAGAGCACCTGGCTTTCACACCTGGCTCTGACTTCCGGCTCCAGTTTCCCACTGATGCAGACACTGAGAGGCAACAGTCACAGCGCAGGTGATTGGCAGCCTGCCACCCACATGGGAGACCTGGATTGCATTCCTGGTCCCTGGACATTTCGGGCATTTGGGGAGGAAACCAGCAGATGGAAATGCTTTCTTTTGTGCGCGCTCGCACTCTCTCTCTCTCTAATTAATTTTTTTAAAGGATCGCCAAATTAGGTCAGGGCTTCAGATCAAGCAGAAGCAGCAGCAGAACCGGCTCCTAGGATGTACCAAGGCAGGAGGAGATGGCAGCGTTATAGATGGAGGAAAAGTGGAAAGAAAACCTGGGGCTTGGCGCTCTGCACCCAGTCCAGTCAACCTGACTTCAGCATACATGGCCCATTTCCCTCCAGGCGAGAAAGCCTCTGAGACCCTCACACTCCTGCACAAGCCAGCTCTCAGTTTGGGAGCAATCTCCTTCCTTATCAGCAGGAAAGAGTGGGCTGGAAACTACAAAGGAGATGTAAATTAGGATTAACACTAAAGGGTTCTAATTACGAAATTAGGATCGGAGCTAAGGAGTTTCCTAGTTCAGAGCAGGAATTTAAACTAGATGAGAAGGAAGACCTCCTTCCACAGGTATCTCTCAATGCTTTTTTTTTTTTTTTAAGATTTATGTGTGTATTAGAAAAACAAGGAGAAAGAGAGAGAGAGAGAGAGAGAGAGAGAGAGAGAGAGAGAGAGAGAGAGACGTCCATTCCAAATGCGTGCAGCAGCCAGAAGCAGCCAGAGCTGGGTCAGGCTGAAGCCAAGAGCCAGGAACTCCTTCTTGGTCTCCCACATGGGTGGCAGGAGCTTGAGCCATTATTTGCTGCCTTCCCAGGTGCATTATCGGAAAGCAGAGCAGCCAGGCCCCCCCTAAGGATGCAGGTGTCCCCAGCAGCGGCTTAACCCTTCGGGCCACTGTCAACACAGAGGTGCACCCTGCTCTCCCAGGTCCCCAGTGCTGAGCCCATTTCAAGGAAAGAGGAATTCACCGACAAAAACAAATGACGCATGAAACGGACTTCAGAGTCTATGTCGTCTAATCCCCTTGGTTTAATAATGGAAAAATTAAGCCCAGAAAGATTATAGGTCCCACAGAGAGTCAGGGACAAAGCCAGAGCCGAGTCTCCAACCTTCAGCGGCTGCCTGCTCGTCCCCCCGCGGCTCTCTCCCACTTTCTGTAGCCACCGCTCCCCGTGTTCAGCCTCAGCCTCGTTCCTCGCCTTGCGATCCTGTCCTGTTTCTGCTTTACTGCACCTCTAAAGAGACAAGAATGGGGTACACTTGTTCCATTCACAGGCTCAAAGACAGCTCTCCTTTTCTCCCCATCTTTTCCTCTTGTCCCCCAGACCCCCACTTCTCCCAACCTCACCTTGCAGCTTCTGAGCTGTCCCCTGCCCCTTGGGGACCCTGCCTCCTCACTCCTGTAACCCCACAGTCCCTTCCAGCAAGCTTTGAGTTTGATCGAGACCTAAAATGCTGCTTTGGCAGTGGTGACGGATGGATGTGATCTGCCTCCTACGGGAATGCTATTTAAAGGGGCGGCCTCCCAATCCTCTCCTTCCCCGGTGACAAGAGAAAGCCTGCTCCTCAATCTCTCCAGAGCTGCAAACTCAGCTCAAGTTCACTTCTGAGTTCCTCCACCTGCAGCCTGGCCTGCTCCTGCTTCCCATTCAGGTGGGAGGGAGAGTACTTGACATCTCACTGAGGTGTGGGGGCTGGGGGGGGTTCATCTTCATCTCCTGTGATGACAGGTACTTAGGAGAGGCAGGAGGCCCTGTAGGGAGGAGAGTGGAAGAACACTCTTCCCCCAGCCGCGTGAGTGTGTCCCCACCCCTCGCTGTGCGCCAGCTTCTGCTCAAAGTCAAACTTTGTTGAAGATCCGGCACAGATGTGAGACCCAAGGCCAAGGAAGTCCTGTCCCCTGCTGGCCCCCCCTCTCTCCTGGTGCTCCGCTCCACACACACAGTTGCTCCCTCCTGCAAGGAGAAAGTCCAGAGGCCAAGATCCTCTTGGCCAGGCTCCAGGCCTGCTGCGCTTGGAGGGCGCCCTCCTCCTCCGGCCCCTGGACTGAACCCCATGTTTCCTCTGCCCACAGGGAAGAGAGACGCTCTGTGAGCATCACGTGTCTGTGCTCCGGCTTGGTGGGAGGGATGATCCATCTCATTACTGCAAACAAGTTAATGGAGATTTTAATGAAAACACTGCGCTAATGAAAATGGCGAGGCTGGATCCTACTTTCTGCCTGCGAGACAAAACAATTGGGGTCAGACTTTCTCCCCGATTTCATTGCTCCGTTCCTCTTGGAGGCCGGGGGAGGGGGATCTGAAAACACAAAGGAGCTCACCGTTGATTGTGTCCCAGGTTGTAAGAGGCCAGAGACCCTCCCGGGCAAGGAAGCAGACTGCCTGGCATGTCAGAGTCCGGTTACCTCCTCTGTCCCTAGACGGCCACTTATGGTCTCAGCTGGCAATGGCCATCGTGTCCTCGCCTTCACTGGCTAGCTTGTTCTAGGCTCTGTAGAACCAAAGCAGGAGGTCTTCCCACATGAGGAGGCATTCGGGACAGGCAGGACAGAGCTAGGACTGAACGCCAGATTTGGGTCCTGGTTCTAGTTCTACTGCTAAGTCTGTGGCCTTTATTCAGTCATCTAACAGTGCTGGAAGTTTCTTGCTCTGGGGTAGGGAAGCCTTCCCTGGCCGCCCTGCAGAAGTGCTCTGAGGATGCAAAAGCTCTCTGAAAAAGTGTGTTTATAAAAAGATTCAGTAACAAAGTGTTAAAGCAACCAGTGCGTTGCCAGGGGCCAGAGAAGAAGAAACAGATCCCAGGATTCCGGAGGCGAGTGTGGTTACAAAAGACCAACAGGAGGAACCTTTGTGGTGATGGAGCTGATCAATATCCTAGCTGTGGTGGCGGTTCCAGAAACCCACACGTGTGCCAATGCTGCATTGAGCCGAATAGGCATCCACAGAGCAAAACTGGAGACATCTGAATGGGACCGGTGGACTCCGTCAATGTCCATAGCCTGCTTCACTAGTGTGCTAAGCTTTGTGAGATGTTGCCATTGAGGGAAATTGTGTAAAGCACACGGGACCTGTTTTTTAATAAATGTTTATGTATTTCATTTATATAAAAGACACAGACCTCTCATCCACTGATGTGCTTTCCAAATGCCTGCAGCAGCCAAGATGGGGCCAAGCTGAAGCCAGGAGCCAAGAGCACAGTCCAGGTCTCCCAGATGGGCGCAGGGACCCAAAGCACTTAAGTCATCATCTACTGCCTCTAAAGATGCACATTAACAGGGAGTAGAACCAGCAGCAGGGGCCGGCGCTGTGGCGTAGCGAGTTAAAGCTCTGGCCTGCAGTGCCAGCATCCCATATGGGTGCTGGTTCAAGTCCCAGCTGCTCCACTTCCGATCCAGCTCCCTGCTAATGTGCCTGGGAAAGCAGTAGAAGATGGCCCAAGTGCTTGGGCCCCTGCACCCATGTGAAAGACCGAGAAGAAACTCCTGGCTCCTGGCTTTGGATCAATGCCCAGCTCCAGCTGTTGTGGCCATCTGGGGAGTGAACCAGAGGACAGAAGACCTTTCTCTCTCTCTACCTCTGCCTCTCTCTGTAACTCTTTCAAATAAATAAAGTAAATCTGAAAAAAAGAAGAAGAAGAAGAACCAGGAGCAGAGCTGAGATTCAAATCCAGGCACTCAGATTCTAGTTTTGTTTGTTTGTTTGTTTTTGGTTTTTTTTAGCGAGAGAGTCAGATATCTCCTACTCACTGGATCACCCCCAAATACCGGCAATAGTTGGGATTGAACTGGGCCAAAGCTGGAAAGTAAGAATTCAACCCAGGCCTCTGGTGTGGGTGGCAGGAGCCCAATCACTTGAACCATCACCACGGCCTCCAAGGGTCTGCATTAGCAGGGAGCTGGAGGCAGGAGCCAGAGCCAGGAAGGGAACTCGGGCTGTCCAACACACGACATGGGCATCTCCACTGATGTCTCAGCCACGAGGCGGTACTGTTTGCTACAAGTGTAAATGGATTAGCCATCAACAGATTTTTCAATTTGGCTCCTCCAAGCAGGGTCTGGACCACAGGTGGCAAAGAAATCCCCACCCGCTCCGGCAGAAGGACCCAGCGCAGATATGGTCGGGGAGATGTTCAGATGCTTCCAAGCCCTCTCTCCCTCGGCGGCTTTGCCCTCTACCCCCAGCAGGCCTGACACTGAATCACTGCTTGGAACACAATGTCCTTCCCACGGCAAAGACGGACGATCGGCTGATGCAAGAAGCAGGACGCTCTGCTGCTTCTGTCCCCAGGAGCTGACAACTGTTGCTAAGAAAACCTTGTGTGTTGATTACGGGTGCCAAGGTAAGGAAGTATTGACTAAGCCTGGATCTCGAGAAAGAAAAAGCAAAACACACATAACAAAATCCAAAAATAGCTTTACTGGAGGCTGGACGGCTGGCTCCCACAGTTGCTGCCCGGGTTTGGACATGACCTTCATGAATCGACGGGCTGATCGCCTCTGCCTGTCCTGGGCACTCTGGACCAGTTGTCGGAGTCTTCCCTGGCAGTGGACACCCAGCGGTGCTGGACGAGGCCACGGTTCCCAGCTTCGGAGTTCACTACATCTAGTTTAGTGCGATTGCGAACGCCTGAGGCTCTGTGACACTTGAAATTCTAATTAGTGCAGAAAAGGGCTTGGTTGAAACAGCTTGTGCTCCCTTAAGGATACCCACTCTCCAGGCCCTACAACCTAATGAGGTCTGGGCAATGTAGGATTTAGGAGAGAAATCCCTGCCCCTAGCAACAGCTGTGCCCAGGCTGAGGCGAAGGTGCGGGGTTAAATCGGTCCCTCCAGGCAAGAGGGAGAGGACCCCCAAACGGTACAGGAGGGAAAGCCAGCCCGAGTCTGGCCTACCAAGCTGCCATATGGCTGTAATTGACCGAAACCGGCCCCTGCTCCCAGAGAAAGCAGCAGAGGCTGAGGCAAGGAAGGAGGCGCTCCCCACCCAGGGTGGGAGTGGAGCAGTGGGCAGTGTGCATCTCTTGGGGTCACTGCCTCCTTGCCCCAGGGAGGCAAGGCAAACTGGGGTGAAGGAAAGAGACACGATGACCCCTCAAAGAGGCCCCCTGAAGGCGAAGAGGGGGGACCCTTGGCTCCAACTGTGCACGCAGTAGGAACAGGCTGCGTGTTTGCCGAACACACTCGGAAAAGGAAGAGAGGAGCTAATGGTCCTAATGAATGTGCAGGAGACAATTGCAGCTCCGGTGGGAGGATTATAAGCTCATTATGGTTTAATATGATGATTGATCACCCCTGCCTGCCAGCGCCATCCTAGAATAGTGATGAAGGTCGGAGAGACCCATGCAGAGCCCAAGCCCTGGTCCCCAGAAGGTAAAAACTGGTACTGGTTTGTCACTGTTTTCTCATTGTCCAAAATCATGGCCTCCATCCCCCAACTTCCCCCACACACTGTCCCCTACCACACTGCACAGCCCCGGGGGGTGCCTCGGTCATCTCCTCCTCAGCTCTGGCTCCAGCCCCACCCCTCCACGACCCCTCACCCTGCTCCCGCCCCCACAAACAAATGTCCACAGACTCCAGTACAGTGCAGGCTCGCGTAGCTCCAAGGGACCCTTCAGTGGGTGCTGGCAGGCACCCGGTTCAGGTGGAAGGCCCGGGAGACCTCCCTGTAGGCGTTGCGCAGCAGGACATAGGGGAAACAGGACTCCAACATGTCCAAGGTCAAGAAGGACGACTCCTCCACCACCTGCAATAGACGGAGCCAGGTGGTGAGAAGCCCGGGCAGAGCGTCTGTTTCTCATCTCGCAGGTCCCGGGGGCCCTCTGAGAACCCCCTCACCCCCAGGGCTACAAGTGCCCCACTCTGTCGGGCACCAGGAAGGCAGCACGGCCTCCTCAGCTCTGTTACAACGGCCCTGATCGGGGTCCTGCATGGCACAGAAGCCAAAGGCAGGAAAGAGCCAGTCTCCTCATGGCTGGATGCAGCATCGTGTGTGGGTGGGCAGCACAGATGCAGGTAGAGACAGACAGAAGTGCGAATGGTAGAGCTTCGCACAAGAGAAGCAGTTGCCACAGCTGGCCAAGGAAGAGGGGCTGGCATCCACAGTGGTCCTCTCGTGTCTCTTCCTCTCACAGCACAGCACTCGGGGAACAGTGAGGACACTGCATAGAGGAGCAGGCATGATTAATTAGTTTAATTAGAAGCCTGCATGTCGTGGTAATCCCAGCAGCCCCCACAGGCAAGCAGGAAGATGGATCAAGATGCCCGGATGAGACTGGGGGTGGGGGAGAGAAGGGCATATTCACAAACAGCAGCCCCAACCTAGCGTGGCACGCCGGAGGGTCCCCACCCTTGAGGAAGGAGCAGGTGTATTTCCCTCGGTAGGTCAGGGACGAGGACTCGTGCTCCAGGCCCACCCCAAGTGGCTGGAAATCCACAGAGAACCCACACATCCACTCTAATGTGCTTCTGTGTCTCAAGTCCGACTTCTGAAATGTATGAGGCTTTGCTGTCCCACACACACACACACACACACACATACACATGCACGTTCACAAGACACACAACCACCTCGGAGAAGACACTGCTGCTGGCTGAAGGCAGAGAAACCTGCTGGCTAAACAGCAGCCCTGAGCTTCCGTCTGATAAGAATTCCTTGGGGTCAGCGTTGTGGCACAGCAGGTGAAGCTGTTGCTCACCACATGACGCTGGCATATATGAGAGCACAGGCTCAAGTCCCAGCCACTCCGCTTCCAATCCAGCTCCCAGTGACGCCCCAGGAAGGCATCCGAAGACGGCCCCAGTGTTTGGGTCCCTGCTATCCACGTGGGAGATCCGTATGGAGTCCTGGCTCTTGGCTTCAGCCTGGCTCAGCCCCCGGCTGTTGTGGGGAGTGAACCAGTGGGTGGAAGATTCTCTTTCTCTCTCTCTCTCTCTCTCTCTCTCTCTCTCTCACACACACACATTCTGTCTGTCATATAAATAAATATTCTTTAAAAAGAATTTCTTGCTCAGTGGGTTTCAGAGGTGAGCTCTCTTCTCCAAGACACTGTTCTCGGGTCCAGGAAAATGAGGGATGAACTCGAGAAGGATCCACTGGGCCGGCTCCTAGCTGGTAGGTGCTCTTGGAGGTGGAAGCAGCCCTGGAGTGGAGGCCGGAAGGGGTTCTGGAGCCACCTTGGCCCATGTGTCACAGGGAGGCCCTGGGTACCACGCTCGCCTGCTTCTGCCTCGGTTTCCTGTAAGTACGGAGCCAACTGGCAGGATCTGGCGTGCTTCTGACATCCAGGGTTCCACGAGCTAGCTCTCCCCGCCCACCCCCGAAAACCCGCATCAGGAGCAGGCCAGCAGCACTGGGAGGGGGGCAAGACAGATCCCAGGGAGGCAAGTGATCTCCGGCCTTCGGAGCTGCACAGCAGAGAAGGCTCTTGCACCTCTTTGCCCTGCAGCCATTTCTGTGCAGCATTTGCATCTGCGTGGCTGGGCAGCAGCCTGCTCCTGCAGTCTCTCCCTCAACCAAGTACCCAGCTCAGCTCCTGCCACTCGACCCTGCTGGGAGGCCACGGGACAGAGCCTGCCCCACACGCAGCCAGGCTGGGAGCCCAAAGCAGAAAGAGCGGGTGCTGAGTGCCAATACAGAGACACCTGCAACCTCACAGAGCGCAAACTGCCCCAGAACAAGGAGAGGCGTGAAATGAGAAGTAGAGAGGGAGCTAATCCACTATGTACTAGGCACTTTCAAACTTTCTTATCCCACAAAGTCTTAAGGACCACCACCCACTTTTATGGATAAAGAATCAGAGTTAATTACTTTGCCAAGGTCAAGCTGTTCTGAATGGGGTGCTCTGCCTCGCCTACCTCCTTCCTCTGCCCTCACCACACACACACACACACACACACACACACACCCCCTATGTATTCTCTCCTCCATCACAACCCTCAACCAGTGTCCCCTAGGCTTTCTGCTAGCTGGAGAAACTGAGGCACAAACACCACTCAGTGCCCGTGTGCTGGAAGGAGAGCTGGAGGGGGTCCCAGGAACACCTGCCCCTAACATTTCTGGGCCTGGGCCTAGAGCACAAAGAGAGGCCCACACACTGTAGACTAAACAGAGTAAACTGACACACTCAGGTTCTCTCCTCCCACTGTGACCATGTTCCTGCATAATCCCATGGAAGTCTGGGCTCCCTGTGGTGAAGGTGGGGAGCCAGCCTCCTGGTCCCTCCCTGCAGTCTGGGAGACTCTGTACCCACAGGTAGACTTCTCTACCCGCACACAGAACTCCAGCCATGTGCTCCCAGAGCAGCACCGGCCCTGGGGCGGACCCCACACAGGCCCCGGTTGTCTCGGGCACAGGCTGCGGGGTGGGCCCAGTCTCCGGGTGAGCTCCTCCTCTCCGTGGGCAGAGGTGGCCTCGGAAACACTGGGCCCAGGGCAGGAGCCCCTCCTGTCCACGCCCAGGGGCAGAGCTCACCTGGAGAATCCAATTCGTGGAGCAAAAGTGAGTACCAGTGTCGGAGAGAAACAGGCTCACGACGGGGGAGATTTTCAAAAACTGACTTGAGTCAGAATTGCCGCAGCTTTCTGCCAGAGTGGAGGGGGCACCCCAAGCCCGGGAAGCAAGGGGCAGCCCGACTCAGGGCCCGCTGGGCTCCCTGCCAGCCAGCTTCTCTGTGCAAGCCACCCCTCCTCCCAGCCGCCATCCACGTGCCCCACCCCCTCGGTTCAGCTCTGTGCTAACCAGGACCCTCTTCAGAGTGCCCCAGAGAGGAGAAATGCAGTGGCAGGAAGTTACCGCCAAAGCCACCTACTGGACAGGAAGTTACCGCCAAAGCCACCTATTAGACAGGAAGTTACTGCTAAAGCCACCTATTAGACAGGAAGTTACTGCTAAAGCCACCTACTGGACAGGAAGTTACTGCTAAAGCCACATACTGTACAGGAAGCTACCACTAAAGCCACACACTGGACAGAAAGTTACTGCTAAAGGTCCCAACAGCACTCCCAGGCCGGACTCGGGAGCACTGCGGGAAGAGTGGCGCCCAGGACATGAGGACTAGAGCCAGGGGGTACCAGGTAGCTTTTGTCTGATGACAAAGGCCTGGACCAAGAGACCTAAAAGAGGAGTCCCCCAACCCGGCCCCGGGGCCCTTCTCCCTCTCCCCCCAGCAGCCTGAACAGGACACATACCAAGCGCATGAGCAGGAAGATGGACTCCCGATTTCTGGTCTTGAGCTTGTCAGTCTCCTGGCCCAGCTGCAAGAGGCTGACAGACGCCACCTGGAAGGGAAGGCTCTGTAAAGCAGCAGATTTTTTTAGAGGTCACCATAGGACAGCCTCGGGCTGCAGGAAGTGAGGAAAAGATCAAGGCGGAGAGTTAAGAAGCCCCATCGGTGTTGGTGGGGGGAAAGCGGCAGGTCCCGGAGGCTTCTGAGACACACAGGTGCCTGGAGACCAGCCCGGAGCCTTGGGTCCCCTCCCAGTGCAGCCACTAGCCGGGGGCTGCTGGGGGCCGGGGTTGCAAGGGGCAAAGAGGCGGCCTAGAACAAAAGCAGGTGAGGCTGTCTTCTGCCCGGAGATTAATCCCAGGCGGCCTCCAGACACCACGTCTGGGCTGTTTGCGGGCCTCTGATTCAGAGCGGAGCCCTTAGTATTCTCCTCCTGTCAGCTCCCCAGCGGCTGTCATCTCCCTTCACCTCCCGGCCCCCAGCAGATCAAAGAGAGAGGAAGAAATCTGATTCATGTATGCCAGCCCCAGGTTACCTGCATTTAGCAAACAAACAGGATAAGAGGGAGGCTGCAGGGGGCCGGGGTGGGGAGGAGGTGCCTTTTTTCTCACCCCATCTTCCAGATCAAGATCTGATGTGAATCTGTTGTAAATCTAAGAGGCCCAGAGCCCCTTCTGTCGGGTTGGTTGTCCCAGCTTAAACAGAGCCCCTCGAACTAGGGTTACAGGCCCTGCTGTGGATTTCTCAAGACAAGGAAATGATTCCAGAGAGCTCGGTATGATTTACTACTGTGTTTCCTCCCGGAGAGAGACAAATGAGGCCCTAGTTCTTAAATCAGGACCACGCTTTGCAAAAGCATAAGCTCCTATTAACTGAGAATGCGCCGGCAGGCGGCGGGTAATGGACCATGTATCCGAAGTGTGTGGCTGGGACGCCTCCGTGGAGGATTCGGGCTGGAAAACTCTAGGGCCTCTTTCAACAATAGCAAGAGGTTATTTATTGTGTTTTTCCAGAGGCAAAACGAAGATCAATGGTGATAGTTAGAAGGAGTCAACGTTGGCTACAAAATAAAAACATTTTTCAACAATTTTTTCAAACATAACTTGCAGCAGCAATGACTGACTGGCTGCAAACTGTGGGCCCTAGAAACCTGGACCAGGGGTTCTCAGAGTGAGACCCCAAGACCACAGCCTCATCACCTGGGAACCTGCCGGAAATGCAGGTTTGCCAGCCCCACCCTCGTCCACAGAATCTGGAAGCCTCCAGGTGATTCTGATGGACAGTCAAGTCTGAGAACCGGCCCTGTCCACTCTCCGGGAGACCCGGGTGAGAAACATAGAGGCCGGCACTCACCCCGGGGTGCTCTGATTCAGTGGGTCCAGGCTAAAGTTCAGCATCTGTATCCAGACAAGGTGCACACCCCACCTGGATTCATTTATTCTCCCTAAATTTACAAATGAGAAGGCACCTGGAGTTCAAGGCCACGCTGCCTAGTTAGGCAGATCCAGAACCAGAACTCAGAGTTTCTGACGCTGTGTGCAACCACCTTGCCGGGTGTTCAAGGGGCGGCAGCAACGCCGGTTGTTAGGGGAATCAGAGAAACACCCGCCTTGCACAGAGCAGCCGCTCACCCTTCGCTGAGCACAGTAGGGGCTTAAACCCGACAGCCCGATCCCTGCTGACCCTGTGCGATGGAAGCCAGGCCCCCGGCAGCCCACTCACCACCAGGAATTCCTTGAGGTGAGTCTCGATGTTCTTGTTGTAGAGCGTGAAGAGGGCAGCGGACACCTGGATGATGGCTTTGGTCAAGCAATGGATGTTGTTGTTGTAACCTGGGGGCAGGGGACAAAAGGAAGGGACAGTGTGAGTCTCCCACCGCTGAAACCAAACAGGAAGTGGCCATTTTTCCAGGCTGGACCACTTCCAGGTGGCATCAAAAGACTAAAGGCGTTTGGGGTCAAGGGGAGGTTATTGCCACGAAGTTTTATTAGAGGGGGATTTTTTTTTTTAGCCTAGTTCACTGTCCAGTGCTTTTGGAAGTAGAACTTTATCTCTGGGTCGGAAGTTTGTATTTTCCAGGAAAGCATTTCAGTTCAGCTCTCGACCCCCAGACATGGACCTGGCCCAGACCTGGCCCATACTCACCATCCTTCTCAATGCTGTAGAAGGAAGAGGGGTCGGTGGCGAGGAGCGGGAGGGAGACTGCAAGGAAGACCAGGAGCAGGCAGGCCACCTTGTACTCCTCCTCAGGGGACGTGCTGTCTGGGGAGGGCAGACAGAGGGGAAGGTCAGCGAGCAGGAGTTGTCTCCTACGGGCTCACAGAACCGCCCAGGACCACATGGGAAAACACCGGTGACACACTGCATACACGGGCAGGTGACCATTGCTGGCCGGGGCGGGACCAGCAGCCGCTGATGGCAAAGGGTCCGTCCTGGAGAGAACCCACAGACAGCCAGAGGCACCTGCCAGCTTCCTGACGGGTGGAGAGGCAGGAAGAGAAGACTCTCGCTCACCAACAGGGAAGGGCAGGGTGATGGATGGGCTGGATGCCAGCCCCTTGGCTCCACCCTGTGCAGAGCTCGTATGGGACTACGAATGCGCCAATCCGCAGGAACACGTAATGGCAAACAGAAGAGACGAGCGGAAGGCTGGGAGGAAGTGGACAGGTGAAAGAGAGTGCATGGGAAGGGACAGCACAGGACGGCTGTGAGAAACTGAGATGCTTCACCACACAGCTCAGCATGCGCCCCATGCTATCTTGCATGGTTCTCTCATGCAAACACAGGCTCCTCTGACGCCAACACCTCCCCGTCCTCAACAAGGGTCCCATCCGTCCCTGCTCCCCCCGACCCCAATCTCACCAGCTTTCAGATTGGCGATGGCAGCCACCAAGGCTGGGTCAATGTCACAGCCCACACCTGCAGCAGATGCCAGCTCAAACACACTCAGGGTCACCTGGCAGGAAGAAAAATGAGTCTGGAGAGGATTCCAGAGAGAAGGCCTTGGCAGAAGCTATGAGAAGCCGGGATTCCTGGGCCACAGGCTTTAAACTTCTGGAATAGTATCCTTTTTTTTTTTTTTTTTTTTTTTTTTTTTTTAGATTTATTTATTTACTACAAAGGCAGAGTTACAGAGAAGCAAAGACAAGAGGGAGAGATCTTCCATCGCTGGTTTACTCCCCAAATAGCCACAATGGCCAGAGCTGGGCTGATCCAAAGCTAGGAGCCAGGAGCTTCTTCTGGGTCTCCCACATGGGTGCAGGGGTCCAAGCACTTGGGCCATCTTCCACTGCTTTCCCAGGCCACAGCAGGGAGCCGGATCAGAAGTGGAGCAGCCGGGACTTGAACCGGCGCCCATATGGGATGCCGGCACTGCAGGAGGCACCTTTACCCACTACGCCACAGTGCCAGCCCCTATCCTCTTTGTAAGAACTTCCATTCACAGCTCTCCCTACTCTACAGGGATAAAACAAGAGCCCAAATGCTTCAGCGTGGAATTCAGGATGCTCCGCAGTACAAACTTCCTTGTTCAACCTTATTTCCCCAAAGGCTTCCCCCGCTGTTGCAGCCAGCGTCGTCTGTTCACTTCCTCCCTTGCCTCCGTGCTCTGGTTCACATCCTTCCTCCTCCTACCCTGTCCCTTTCTCTCCTCTGTGTCTCTTCTATTATGTCTAAGTGATGCTTAGTTATAACTAAGACTTCACCTCCTCTGTGGAGCCCTCCCTGATTACCTGGTTCAAACCTATCTCTCCCTCCTTAAAGCAGAACTGCTGACTTAGCATCAGGCACACACAGTCTGTATACAGTTATCTTTTTAGGTAGGAGGTGAGACTCCTGGCTTAGCTTCCAGGGGAAGGCATAAAAGGGCTTTAGAATGAGACAAATCCGGGGTTCCAGTCCTAGCAACACCACTTAGTCACTGTGTGATTTTGGCCAAAAATCACTTAATTCCTTGAGCCCCCATTTTCTCATCTTAAAACTGAGATGATAATAATGCTCACCTCACCGTGGGCCACATGCATAAAGCATTGAACTTCAGCAGCTAAAATGCAAATGGTCCACCTTTATCTCCTCTCCCCTTACCTTTCTTTCCTTGAGGATGTCCTGTTTAATTTGCGAGCTGGGGAAACACTGTGACAGACAGACAGACAGAGCCTTCTTCCACAAGCCACTCCCCAGACGCCTACACCACCCCCGCACTGAAACTTTTCCTTGATCTTGAAAGCAGGGACTCTGCACTTCTTGTCCGCTGCAGTGTTTAGCACCTGAGTCCCTCCTTGTCCTTAGAACCAGGCTCTCAGCCATAGCCTCAAACCACCACTCCCACGCCAAGCCCTGGGAGCCCTTTGGAGGCTGACCACAGTTGAGTTTGCTGGTTCTGAGAAAACAAAGAGAAGGGTCCCAGCACCAGACCGCTGCGTGTTTTCCACAGACACAACCCACACACTCACAGAAGCCACACTCTCGCCTCCTCCAGCTCTGCCCCTTAGCAAGCCCCCTCCTGCCCTGGAAGTGGGCACTGCTTGTGGCAACCTCCACCTAGGAGACCGTGTGGCTTCCTGGAGGAAGAAGCAGATGATGGAGGAGTCTCGTGTTCTGTTTTCCCAATCTTCCCGCCCCGCTGAGGCACCGGCAAGCTCTCTCTCTGACGGACAGGCTGTCCCCGCTCTCCGTCTCCCCTGCTTATTTGTACAGGCACACGGAGCCTAAAGCAGCCCAGGACATTTCAGCTGGCTGAGCTCCTGCTGCAATGGGGCATTCAGCCCTGGCAGGAGGGCAGGCTCTGCATAAGCCGGCTGTGTGGATGGCACTGCCCCTCACTGCCCCCACGGCCACTTGGCCCCTGTGTGGTTCCGGGCAGGTACAGGGAAGTGGCTTAACTCTTTCCATCTCAAGGTGAGGACGTTTTTCTTAACCTGGAACTTTACTCCTCTGACTCAGCAAGGTACCCTTTATCACAGCTCTCTCTGTTAAAGGAGGCCATCGCAACAAAGCAGCAGGCCCTCTGCATGGGGCGGGGGGAGGGGGCGGTATTCCCAGGCTTTGGCTGTTTCCTGTGCAACACACTTGTTTGCTGCAGGGCACTCAAAAAACGAGGGGGCCGGCGCTGTGGCATAGTGGGTAAAGCTGCCACCTGCAGTGCCGGCATCCCATATGAGTGCTGGTTCAAATCCAGGCCGCTCTACTTCCGACCCAGCTCTCTGATATGTCCTGGGAAAGCAGTAGAAGATGGCCCAAGTGCTTGGGCCCCTGCATCCGTGTGGGAGACCCAGAGGAAGCTCCTGGATCCTGGCTTCAGATCGGCACAGCTCCGGCTGTAGCAACCATTTGGGGAGTGAACCAGCGGATGGAAGATCTCTCTCTCTCTCTCTCTCTCTACCTCTCTCTCTCTCTCTCTCTCTCTCTCCCCCTGTGCCTCTGCCTCTCTGTAATTCTGCCTTTCAAATAAATAAATAAGTCTTAAAAAAAAAAAAAAGAAGACAAGGTCAGGGAAGGGTGGGGCGTGACTGTGTGCTCAGGTAGGCTTTGCCTCCTGTAGCAATGGGGCACGCGAGCAGGTGGTACTGACGCGGAGGAGCCAGAAAGGTTAAGAATTGGGAGGACGCAAAGGCCAGGAAAAGAAAGGAAACTCTGAAGGCAGGCTGGGGATGGGGAAGGAAGGGATAAGTCTTCCCCAGCAAATACCAGGTTCCTGTCTGAGACGCCAGCAGCATCTCCCACCCCCTTGGCCCTGGTGTCCTCGCAGTGCCCCTCTCTCTGCAGGAAGATCCACCCAACCAGTTCTGTGATTCAAACCCTGGCTTGGCACAGCACAGCGCATCGCACCCTGGGCGTGCAGCACCTGATGACTCAGGCACTTGGGTTCCTGCCACCTACATGGGAGACCTGGAAGGAGCTCCTGGCTCACAGCCTTGGCGTGCCCCTGTCCTGCCCTGCCTGTTGCCAGCATTTAGGGCGGGGGGTGGTTAAACCAGTGAATGGGAGCTCTCTGCCTCTGTCAAAGAAATAAATAAAACTCACGAAGCCCAGCTCCGCCGCCCGGCACATCCTCCAGCGCCCTCCTCCCTCACAGGCCCTCATCTCTCGCTTCCCACCAGCAGAGCGTCCCAACCCCACTCCCCCACGTTCCCCCCCACCGCACACACACCTTGATGTCTGTGTCTGGAGTGACGAACTCCTTTAAGCACTCGATGGGCCCCATAAGGAATGGGCAGTGGGAGGAGAAGACCTGGAAGAAGGAGAAGAGAAGTGAGTGCCCAGGACAGCGGCCGGGGCCTCAAAACCAGTTGAGGCTTAACCCAGGCCCCCGAGCCATGCATGGCCTCTCCCATGCCTCTGCGGGCTCCCCAAACTCCTCCATCCCCAGGGATCTGGCAGGACCCCTGTGAGACTAAGCCACGTCTCAGGGTTGGCCGGCCCCTGCCACGCCCCCCTCCACTCACCTCCCGAAGTCCTTCCTGGGCCATGGCCCTGAAACTGAGAATCACCCCAATGATTGTCATGCGCTTCAGCACGTTCTCAGCGCCTAGGACAAAGGGGACAAGGGGACACAGCGGCCGTGGCGGTGGGGCCCCTTCAGGCTGTCTGTCCCCCCTTCCCACCCTGCCCTCCCCTTACCCATCAGCTGGGGCAGCAGGGAAGCCATCAGGCCCGGCTTGCTGAAGTTGGATCTGATCTGCACAAGTACGTCCATGTTTTCCACCACCAGCTTCTGCGGCCCGGGAGCACGGAGACGTGAGGTGGGGAGGGGCTGCCCGCCCGCCCGCCCGCTGAGTCTCCCTCCACCCCAGCCCGGCCTCCCGCCCCTCTCGCCCACCCCCAGGGAGGGTCGTCATCCTCGTCATCCCTCTCCCCGGGATGGAGGGGGGCTGGTTTCCACTGTACCTTCAGCTCCACAATCTGAGAAGTCACGTGCCACATCAAGTTTTCACTCAGGAACTTCATGCCATAGGGGCCCAGGAGCTCAGCCAAAGCCCGCATCTCTGCAACAGAGTTACAGAGGCCCAGCCGGGACTCAGAGAGCCCTGGGCAGCCCCGGGGGTGGGGGACTGGATGGAGAGCACGCCGCCCAGCAGGGAGAGCAGGAGGGGAGTCACCCGACACCCTGCACGCAGGTGGCAGGTGTCTGGTCCCCGGTCGTGGACCATCTGCCTCCTCCCTCCCTGCACACACCTACCACCACACACAGTAAGCGTTTACTCTTTCTTTCATGCAGCTCTGCTTTCCCAAGTCCCGTCAGGGTTTTCTGCCTGCTGTACCCACTCTGTGAGATGTGAGACCCCCAACAAGTCACCGAGCTTCTCTTTGTCAAGTAAAAAAATTACTATCTGTCATGAAAACCTGACAGGGGGCCGGCGCTGTGACTCAGCGGGGAAAGCCGCCATCTGCAGTGCTGGCATCCCATATGGGCACTGCACTTCCGATCCAGCTCCCTGCTAAGATGCCTGGGAAAGCAGCAGAGGATGGCCCAAGTCTTTGGGCCCCTACAGACATGTGGGAGGCCCAGAAGAAGCTCCTGGCTCCTACCTTTGGCTTGGCCTAACCCTGGCTGTTGCAGAGTGAACCAGCAGATAGGAGCTCTCTCTCCTCTCTCTCTCTTTCTCCTCTCTCTCTCTCTCCCTCTCTCTATCTCTCTCTCTCACTGCTTCTCTCTCTGTATCTCTGCCTTTCAAATAAACAAATAAATCTCTTTAAAAAAAAACCTTATAACGTTGACGTGTGTGCAGATAAGATACCACATTATAAAACCATCTGAGACTATAAAGATATATATGGGGGCCAGCGTGCTGGGTAAGACCACGGCCTGTAGTGCCAGCATCCCATATGGGCGCCAGTTCGAGTCCCGACTGCTCCACTTCCAATCCAGCTCTCTGCTGTAGCCTGGGAAAGCAGTAGAAGATGACCTAAGTGCTTGAGTCCCTGCACCCACATGGGAGACCCGGAAGAAGCTCCTGGCTTCTGGCTTCGGATCAGCACAGCTCTGGCTGTAGCAGCCATTTGGGAAGTAAACCAGCACATGGAGGGCCTCTCTCTCTCTCTCTCTCTCTACCTCTCCTTCTCTCTGTGTGTAGCTCTGACTTTCAAATAAATAAAAATAAATCTTTTAAAAAAGATATATCCGAACAATGGTTGCTTATTAGGAGATTGATTGACAGCTGTCTTGGGCCCATGGCACAGGCACTGTCATGGTGGTTTTGCAGTGCGGGCCCAAGTTCACGGAACCGCATCCAGAGCTACAGCCTGACACGGTGCGATGTCCTGCTGGCCGTGACTGTGTCGGCAAACACAACTGCTTCCCAGCCAGAGCCAGAGCTTTGCCCACGTAGCTCCCTCCACAGCCGTGACTTATGCCTCCCTGCCCGAGTTTTCCCTCTTCCTTCATGATTGGCACACGTTCCCTGAAGCGTCTAAACCCTTCCTCCATCCAGTCTGCCCCAGTGCCTTCTCCCTCCTCTGCGTGGTCTGCTCCGGCCCTTTGTGACTTAGATGAAGCCCGCCTAGGGAAGTCCCACGTCAGGAACACCAGCGGCCAATTCAGACAGGAAGCAGAGCTATGATCTCTGGCCATGGGCCATCCCTGCAGGGAAAGCCATGAAACACCAGAGGCAACATCAACAAGTCAGTGCTGGAAGAAAGACAGGCTAGATACCGTGAATAACCGAGTTCAGACAGAAAAGGAAGTCGGGGCTCCACGCCCGGGTCTTTGAAGGTGGGACCAGTTGTTCTCCACCCGCACAGACGGCAGAGGAAGCGGAACTGGCCGCCGCGGCTGATGGACAGCCGTGTCCAGAGGAGACAGCGGACATTTTTAGTCACCTATTTACAACAGGAAGCGCCGAGCTGAGAACTATAAAAGGATCTCCCAGCTGGCCAGCTCATTTGGTGCAAACGTGGCCAAGAGAGGGGACGAGGGGCTGAATGGTCCCGCTCCGGGGCTGATCGGCCAGACCTCCGTACTCCGGTCTCTTCTTCCCCCCTAGGGCATTCTTCTCTTCCCATCTATCTATTTTTGCAATAGCATTGCCCCATCACCATGGCAACCCAGGAAAATTGGGGTGGGGGTGGGCGAAGGGGAATGAGCATCACCTCCTGCTGCTTGTCACTTGTCAGCGAGACCTAGAGTTGCTTTCGGAGGCTGCCTAGAGTTTGCAGGTGGAGTGGGGTGGGGTGGCGGCCAGCTGAAGCCTCCGGCAGGCAGAAAGCAGGGTGGGGAGGACTGTGAGGAGGCCCAGCTGGACAGCGGGACTGTCACCGGAACACCCGCCTGTCCAGATGCCACAAGGGACCTGTGACTTGTGTGCAGGGGAGAAGGACGAGGAGGAAGCAGGACAGTCCGTACGGCTCAGCTCCTTACCCCGCCATCGTCACGGGCGAAGGCCCCACAGCCCATTGCTAAGGAGGACAGCGCCGTGACATCAGAGCCCTGGGGAGGAAGCCCCAAGCACAGGGCCAAGTCCTCCTCTTTCCACTCGTCCTCTGCCCTCTCCATTCGTCTTCATTCAGTGGAGAGCAACCATGTGTCCGCCCCTGCCTGACTCCTGAAACCCCCTTGGTTTCCCCTCTCCGCCCAGTTCTGGGCCTCGCTCTCTCCCTGCTCTGGCCCTGCAGGTGGAGATGCCCAGGTGAGTGCAGTCACTGCCCCCTGCCCTGGGTGGAGGAGAAAGGCTCAGCCCCCGGGCAGGGCGGGGCCGGGCCCTGGACTCACCAGAGATGTCCGAGTACTCCTCGGCGCTGAAGCTCTGCTCCCCCTCTCTGGGGAGGCTGACGAAGGCCTGCATGGCGGGGGACAGGAGGATGGTCCCACTGCTCGCCTGCCTCAGCAGGCTTTCCAGGTACCTGCAGGGGGAGCCAAGAAGCACAGAGACACATCCATGAGGCTCGGGGAGCGGAACCTGCCGGACGCTGGGGCAGGGACGAGGGTGGCAGAGGAGACCCAGGCCGCTCGTCCCCCCAGTCCACCTGTGTTCTTTTCCCATAGCTGCTCTCCCCTATCCTCGCTCTGCTGGGCAGGGAAAAAATTCCTACTGAGAGTGAGAATGTTGGGCTGAGAACCTGGGATCCTGGATGGCAGTGTCCAGCCCGACCTCTGTGGGCGCTGCGGTCATCCGGCCTCCAAATCTTCCCTCAAGCACAGAGGGGCTGAGCCCCAGCAGCCGGCAGCAGAGAAGGCCTGACCGACCCCTGCCTCTTACCCAGCCACTAGCCAGCAGTGGGTACCCACAGACATCACAAGCTAGCCACCGGTGCCGCCAAACCCACCCATCCGACATGGGCTTTTTTTTCCCTTTTCAATTAAATTAGTGATCAAAAGTTTGAAACAGATTTTTACCTGGCAAAAGTCAGGATTTAGTGGGGCAGCAAGCAGGTGCAGCTAAGAGGTGGTTGCCCCTTTAGAGGGTGTCCCCTCTCTGACTCCTCAAAGTCCTCACCTGGGCCAGGCTACCCATTTACCTCACCTGCCCGGCCCCTGTTGGCATTTGTCTATTTGCAAACTTTCTGTCCCCTTCCTCAGCGAGTTTTTCTCTGCCACCTGTCTCCTGCTGGGCTGATATTGGATTAAGAGCGCCACCCAGTGGCTTGAGGCGGTACAAATCCAGTTACTTTCCATTCCTTAACATCTCAAGGGAAAGGGGGCTGATTCCCACCTTCAATTTGGGGGAGGGGACCCTCTTCCCTATGAAGAATAGTCTACTCAGTCTGGGCCAGTCACCTCTGAGCATAAAGGGGTAGCGATCGGGAGAGCCGCAAGCAGTAACAAGCCTCCCTGCCTGGGGCCCTGGGCGCCGAGGTTCTGCGTGGTGTGCAGAGAAAGCAGGCGCTGCACTGACCAGTTGGTGTAGAGAGTGGTGATGGTCTGGTCCCCGCTCGAGTCCAGCGGCTGCGTCTGCTGCAGGAGGGCGTTGCGGATGATTCTGGAGGCGTCCGCACCCACAAACTGGGCCAGTGACTGGATGAAACCGATGTACGCTTTCACTCCTGCCAGGAGTTCAGACGGCCTTACGATTTCCTGCGTGCTGGCGTTGTAGCCAGCCAGCCACACGATGGCTCTGGGTGATAGAAATCATCGTTCCATCACAACGGGAAACACAGCGACAATTACTGAGGGTATACCATGTTCTGGATCCTGTGCTACGGTTTTACTGTATGTATTATCTCATCTAAACCTTATAGCAGGGGCCAGCGCTGTGGCACAGTGGGTTAAAGCCCTGACCTGAAGCACCGGCATCCCTTATGGGCACCTGTTCTAGTCCCATCTTCTCCTCTTCCGATCCAGCTCTCTGCTGTGGCCTGGGAAAGCAGTGGAAGATGGCCCAAGTCCTTGGGCCCCTGCACCCACGTGGGAGATCTGGAAGAAGCTCCTGGCTCCTGGCTTCAGATCGGCACAGCTCCAGCCATTGCGGCCATTTGGGGGATGAACCAATGGAAGGAAGACCCTTCTCTCTGTCTCTCCCTCTCGCTCTCTGTAACTCTATCTCTCAAATAAATAAATAAATCTTTAAAAAAAAATTTTTTTAAACGCTCAGCTCCTTCCAAAGCACTGTCCGGGAACCCAGGCTCTCACAATGAGAGGGGACGAGAAACATCACACTTCATCGGCTCCTTCCTTGGGCCACTAATGTTCAGGAGTTCCGGGGTGGGGGGGAGTCTTTGTGGCAGGGGAGAAGGGAGCGGGAAAGGCCCCTCCCTGCCTCGCTCAGGAACATACTGCAGATGGGCAGATGGAGAGCAAGCCTCATCTGTGTCGTCACTTTCACCAAGCCAGGCCTCTAGTCCAGTCTTCGGACGTAGATGGGGGCAATGGTATCAGGGAAGCAAGCAGCAGAGACCCTCAGAGAAAACCGGGATACGCCGGCCAGGGTGCTCCGGGCACCCGCAGCCTCTGCCCGCTTCCAAAGGTTTGCGTTCAGGCAGCTACGCAGCACTCCCCTTCCAGACATCCCGAGACGCTCCATCCGTGCAGCTAACGTGTGCGTGGAAACCCGCTAATTTCACTTCCCCCAAGCAGTAACCTCATTGAAAACTAAATCTGCATCTCCCACAATCCCGGACACGGGCTCTTCACCGGCCTCTGCTAATGCAGAGTGAAATTCTGAGTCAACTCGCGTTACAGCTGCGCTCCACACCTGCCAAGCCGCCGCAGCTCGTCACGACGGAAGCCAAAGCCCTCCTCGTGACACACAAGCACCTACACGGCATGCCTATCCCCGGTCTCTCTGGCCCCCACCCTGCGGCCTCCCCCAGGCTCGCTTTGCCGCGGGGACACTGCAGCCGTGTCCACTGCCCTTGCACGTACTCTACCCACAGTGCTCCTCCCCCTGGTCACCACGCACCTGGCCCCTCGGCCCCTTTGGGGCTCCATGCCTACATGTGTCACCTTCTCGAGCAAGCCCACCCAAGCTACCCTACCTAACCCCGTGACACCCCAGCTCCTGCACCGCCACCGCCCACCAGCACCCGAGATCCCCTGCTTGATCTAGCAGCATCCAATCCACCATCCACTGTGTCTTCTAGTTCCGTCTTCTGTTGCTCTGTCTCCCCCACTAGGAGGGAGGCTTCACAGGGACGGGGGTTTGTGTGTGTGTTGTAGGCTGCTTTATCAACATGCCTGACACAGGGTAGGTGTTCAGTGAGTGTGTGCTCCATGAACAAACTCACATTCCAGCACAGGGCTCTGAATGCCGATCTCTCATCATAATTCTTCCCTCTCCTACCCCACCCCCTAATTTCTGACTCTGAGGCCTGATGTCAATAAAAGGGGTGTTCCTCCTACTTTTGGGGGCAGTAGAAGGAGGGGCAAAGTGTAGAAGGGGGAACTTGTTTTACTAAGGTCTCTTATATGTCGGGGTTGTAACACTCACTATTCTCTCTAATTATCTGCAGTTCTCAATGGCAGGTCATTCTGTTAGGTGGATACCGTATTCCTCACCTTATGGGCAGGACAAATTAGATCATCTGCTCCAGGGTCCGAGCTGGGACGTCAGCACGAGACCCTGCTCACCGGACTAAACCGGTACACATTAATCCTGGCTGCTCATCATTAACTACCCACAGGGGTCTGGATTCTCTTTGCTTTTTGTAAGGACACAGGGGACCCAGGCCAGGACAACCACTCCAGCACCTCCTGCAGAGCCAGCTCTGCCGGCTCCACTCTGCGCCAGCACGGGCAAGGAGAGCGATACCTGTTGAGTCTGGTCTCCAGGTGGCTGCTGAGATACTCAGCAGGGAAGATGGTGTGTTCGAAGACAGAGAAGCTGTGAACGTGGTTCATGGTCAGTGCCAATTCCGTCAAGGTCAGGTGTAGCTTGTCCATGCTGGAAAGCAGAATGACCCCAGTTACAGGTCTGGCCCTGCCTGCTAATGTTTGGGAAAGAAGGGTCAGGCCTGTTGAGGGGTCCCTCAAACCCCTTACATCTTCTAGGGGTACTCCACCCGGAACAGTGCCCCCCCCTGCTGACTTCAAAGGCAAGGTAGAAAAGTCTACCACCAGGGTTTTTCTACAGCCAGCATCTGCACCACCACTCCCATGGTCCTTTGCTGCTTCACCTTCCCTCGGCCCCCGGCGCCCAGGTCTCACTTGGTGACGATGCTGCGGTTCTTTCGGTGACTCTCGGCGCCCGGCTTGTCCCTCTCGGGCTCCCCTTTCCTGGGGGTCTGCCTCTGCTTCATGGTTTTCTTGTTCTTGGCCTTGCTAATGGTAGTGGCACAATGCTTGGGGAGAAGCTTTAGAGACAGACACACATGAGTGGGGGAGTGAGGTGTGTCGCCGGAGCCATCCAGCAGCCCGTCCAAGGATTACGAAAGGACCCCTCCGTTACTGTCGGTCCTTGATGGCTCTGCCTTTCTCTTTAGCCCAGCGTCAAAAATACCCACCCCAGGATGGGCTCGGCCTCTTGCAGGGGTCCCCGGCACCTGGGAGGCCTTTCCTGGCTAAAGAGGAAGCTCTAACAGCTCCGCCGGCGGTGGGTGCTTGGTGCCCCGCGAGGTTGCAACCTGGGACCCCAGAGTGGCAGGGTTTCAGTCCCAGCTGCCCCTATGCTCCCATTTCCCCATCCCTGCTAGCGTGCGCTCCGACAGGCAGCAGGTGAAGTCAGTACCTGGGTCCCTAACACCCAGGTGGGAGACACAGGACCGACTTCCTGGCTCCTGGCTGTTGGGAGAGTAAACCAGCAGATGGGATTTCTCTCTCTCTCTCTCTCTCTCTCTTCCCCTCTCTCTGCCTTTCAAATAAATACATCTTTGCACTTTGTATTTTATTTGTTATTTTTTGAGATGACATTTTTAATTTACATTCTAATCCAAGGCTAAACGCTCCACTAAATAAAGACTTCAACGAATGCAAAGACTGTAGGCCAGTAGCGAAGCAGACAAGGGCTATAAACAATATGCAAATGAAAAATGTTCACCTTCACTCACGTAAAGTCAATTTTTAAATGGTCACAAAACCAGTAAAACTATGGCAGTATACAACTCCTATCAACTCATTTGACGAAAAATTTAAAACAAAGTTCTTTCTCTCTCTCTCATCTCTGCCTTTCACATAAATGTTTACTTTTTTTATGATTTTTTTTATTTGACAGGTAGAGTTATAGACAGTGAGAGAGACAGAGAGAAAGGTCTTCCTTCTGTTGGTTCACTCCCCAAATGGCCGCTACGGCTGGCGCTGCGCCAATCCGAAGCCAGGAGCCAGGTGCTTCTTCCTGGTCTCCCCAGGGGAGAGTGCAGGGGCCCATGCCCTTGGGACATCCTCCACTGCCCTCTCTGACCACAGCAAAGAGCTGGACTGGAAGAGGAGCAACCGGGTCTAGAACCCGGAGCTCATATGGGATGCCGGCGCAGCAGGCAGAGGATTAACTAATTGAGTCACGGCACTGGTCCCCACATAAATGTTTTCCAAACACATGTAAGATCATCACTCCGTTGTGCTTCTATGGTGTTCCATCCTGGAGAAGGGCTGGGTTTTTTTTGTGTGTGTGTGGTTTTTTGTTCGTTTGTTTTTCCAGATGGAACAGCCATTGCACCGGCCTCATTCCTCCACAGCCTGCCCATGGTGACAGTCCCCACACCCCCGCAGTGCCCAGAGACACAGCCCTGTCTTCTCACGGCTTTTTTTTTTTTTTTTTTTTTTTTTGACAGGCAGAGTGGACAGTGAGAGAGAGAGAGAGACAGACAGAGAAAAAGGTCTTCCTTTTCCGTTGGTTCACCCCTCAATGGCTGCTACAGCCGGCGCGCTGCAGCTGGCACACCTTGCTGATCTGAAGCCAGGAGCCAGGTGCTTCCTCCTGGGCTCCCATGTGGGTGCAGGGCCCAAGCACCTGGGCCATCCTCCACTGCACTCCCAGGCCACAGCAGAGAGCTGGCCTGGAAGAGGGGCAACCGGGACAGAATCCGGAGCCCCGACCAGGACTAGAACCCGGGGTGCCGGTGCCGCAGGATTAGCATATTGAGCCGTGGCGCCGGCCCGTGGCTTTTTTTAATATCAAATTTCTTGCTACTTAGTTCAGACATCAGTCCTGCATGTCCTCTCTTCTCTATGACACCCCAGTTAGCCAGACAGACAGCATAGGAGACAAGCGCGTGTTCAGGTGCCCCCTGCCAGGTCAGCGCCCGCGACCCCGCACCCTCTGCTCCCACACTGCCGAGCATGTGGGGAGCGTGTGTGGAAACCCCTTGGCTGGAATCACTCTTGGGGTGGTGCAAAAGCCACACGAGAAAACAGGGTGGGGTATTACTTTGCAGTCATGATTCCTTGAGTCCAAGCTGTTGGTCGTTTCAGAAAAAAAATGCAAACGGAAGTCCATCAAGGATGATGAACAAAGATGAGCTGAGCCTGAAATTATGCAAAGCGTCTGTTGTAGATTCTGAAAGCACTTCCAGGAAAGCTAACTCCGTTAGTAACAGCAGCGTCACGAATGGCTCAGAGTGCCACCTTTGGAGTGCCAGCACTCATGGGGCTGCGAAAGTTCTGATCAGCTAGACACATCGTGTTCGGGTCGGGCCTGAGGCAGCACCGGGCCAGCCTTTCCACCTGTGCCCCTTGCGTGCTGGTCATTCCTCCTGGGTAATGGCAACACCTGCACTTGTACTTATTTGCGTATCTCCCTCGCGTTAATCACTTACGTTTTTTCAAACATGGCTGCACGCTCCGTTTTCCCTTAAACTGGGACATTTCCAGGAGCAGGGGTTGTTTCCTTCCCTCGGGGGTCTCCAACCCAAAACCCAGCACAGAGCCTAAAGCACCAACTAATACATCAGCTACACGTCCGGAGTGCTGCCTACGAAATAGTCAGCGTCCTCCACTCGTTCAATCCCCCACACACACCTGTGCAAAGACCGTGTCTCTGATCCCCACTTACCTGTGAGAAAATGACCGGGTTACGTGAGGATGTAACTGCAGCTGGGGATCCTTCCCCCGCCCCCACTCCCCTCCTACCCAAAGTTGCTGCAAAGCCCGACCCAAGCCCAGGAAGGGTGGGAAGCCTGGGAAGTCGGAATGACTCCAGCACAACAACAAAACAAGTTCCTCATTTTCAAACTGTCTGAAATTTAGGTTGACGTCATCATGACCAGGTGCTGAGTCAGTCTCGAGAGGAGAGGTGAAAACCCGGAAAGACGAGAAAGCAGCGCCCAGTGTAGCCCCAGAGGAGCTGCCCAAGCCGCCCAGCCAGCCACAGATGAGGATGCAGAGAAACAAAAAGATGGATGACACAGGTGACCTGGGGTCACAGGCCTGCGTGTGCGTGCATCGGGCAAAGACAGGAGGGGTAGTAAATTAGAAAATAAGCTCCTGGGGCCGGTGCTGTGGCACAGCGGGTAAAGCCGCCACCTGCATGCCGGCATCCTATATGGGTGCCGGTTCGAGTCCCGGCGCCGGTTTGAGTCCCAGCTCCTCCACTCCCATCCAGCTCTCTGCTATGGCCTGGGAAAGCAGTGGAAGATGGTCCAAGTCTTTGGGCCCCTGCACCCCGGGGAGACCTGGAAGAAGCTCCTGGCTTCGGATCGGTGCAGCTCCAGCCGTTGGGGCCGTTTGCAGAGTGAACCAGCGGATAGGAGATCTCTCTCTTTCTGCCTCTGCCTCTCTGTAACTCTGCCTTTCAAATAAATAAGTAAATCTTTAAGAAAAAAGAAAGAAAGAAAATAAACTCCTCTCCCAGAGCCCTTCAACTGAGAGCAGATTCTGTCGGCGTGCAGCTGTTCAAATAAGAGTATTTTTAGACACCTCTCTCCAGCCCTCAGGGACCAAAGACAAGGGACTACGCGAAGAAAAGAATCTTGCCAGAAGCTCCAGCACACAACAGCCCTGGACCCACTTGAGAGCTGGAGAACTTGGCATCTGAGAGCGAGCCAAGTGGGCAGAGAAGGGAGGCGCCGAGGGCCGGCAGAGTGGAGACCTGAACAGGACGGCCGGCGCCCACCTGCTCGCTCAGGTTCCGCTGCTCCGCGCAGATCTCCAGGACACAGTTGCTGGTCTGCTTGGCCAGCTCCTCCAGGAAGGAGTTGCAGTGGTGAAGGCCGTGGTTCTTCAGGTGGGGGTACTGCGGGAAAGAGGGACAACCGGAAGCTGCCTCACGACTGCGTCTGTCCCCTCGCTACAGCAGAAGAGGCCAAGCCAGAGGGAGGGAGAGCACTCATCTACACCAGATTGAGCTACCTGGGCCTCAGCATCACAAACCCATCCTTGTGGCCTTCCTGGAACCAAGGCCGATCCTTGCAGCCGGGTTTGGCGGCGAGGGGGGTGGGGGGCAAGGATGAGATATGACCAGAGAGACGACGACAGGGCTTGGGGTCCAGGGTACCCACCTCCTCTGGGCACATCTCATGTGTGCAGTGGACAAAATGGGCACAAATCAGGGGGAAAGCGATGGCGTAGCGCAGCATGGTGGGCTCCTCCAGGGTCACGGCAAACATCTTCTCAAAGGTACGCAGGTGAAAGCTACAGAGAAGGGGCAAGGAGGCCTGAGACCAGATTTTGAGCACTGGTCCCAGGGAGGCAGGGAGAATATTCGCTCATCCTATCAAAAGATATTTGCAAATATTCATCAGGCCCTCTACCCATGGGCCTACAGAAGCTAAGACTGCTTGGGACACCAGCATCCCGGATCTGAGTGCCTGGTTTAAGGCCTGGCTCCCCTGCTTCAGATCCATCTTCTTCCTTCTGCATACCCCAGGAGGTAGCAGACGGTGGCTCAAGTGCTGGGGTCCCAACCACCCAGCCAAGAGACCCAGACTGGGCTCCAGGCTCCAGGCTTTTGCCTTGCCCAGTCCCAGCTGTTGTAGGCATTTGGGGAGTTAGCCAGTGAATGGAAGATCTCTCTGTGTCTCTCTTTCTTTGTCTCTACCTTTCAAATAAAGTGGGATTAAGTAAAAATTATTGACATTAAAAAGAAATTCCCTGGGGGCTGGCGTTGTGGCATAGCAGGTAAAGCCGACGCCTGTGATGTCAGCATCCTATGAGCGAGCCAATTCATGTCCCAGCTGCTCCACTTCCGATCCAGCTCTGCTGTGGCCTGGGAAAGCAGTGGAAGATGGCCCAAGTGCTTGGGCCCCTGCACCCACGTGGGAGACTTGGAAGAAGCTCCTGGCTCCTGGCTTCAGCCTGACCCTGCACTGGCTGTTGCAGCTATCTGGGGAGTGAACCAGCGGACGGAAGATCTCTCTCTCCCTCTCTCTCTGTAAATTCTAACTTTCAAATAAATAAATACGTCTTTTAAAAAAATTCCCTATGCTTGAGGTAGTAAGGAACCCAGAAACCTAACCCTTTCAGACTTTTATAACGACCCAGGGCTGCTCAGTAATCATCTTCCTCCCTTTCCCCACACACAGTTTGCTTTCCCCCCTCTGCCTGTTCCTGTGGTTTAGAGTCCTGGGTCGGCACCGCTGGTTCACACGCCTCCCAGCATCTGACACTAAAGGTCCAGGAAAGCCTTCTGGGCTAAGGTTCACGAGACTGATCTCTCCTCCAGCCTGTGCCCTGCCCGCTTCAGGTTCCCAGTGCCATGCTGACGTTCTCCGAACAGAAAGGTCTCCCATCTCCCCACGCGTGCTGACTGCCGACAGCAGAGACGACAGGTTGCCTTCTTGTTTGTTTGATCCTTCAAAGAGCAGAGCTGTGCACAGCAGCAGTCACCTAATAGATGTCGAACGCTGCCGCAGGAAGACAAGCGGCTGACGGTCGTTCTCCAAGACCCTGTGCTACAACACTCCTCACTGTTCTCCACCCTCCCAACGAAATCACTGAAGTTTCATTCGTTTGGCTGGTTGGCTGATTGGTTCACTTCTGGGTTTTTGATTGTTGGTTTTCATTTTACGTGAAGGGCAGAGAGACAGATGGAGAGAGATCTTCCATTCACTAATTCCCTCCCCAAACGCTCACAACAGCCAGGACTGAAGCCAGAAGCCTGGAATTCACTCAATCCAGGTCTCCTATGTGGATGACAGGGACCCAAATGTTTGCGCCATTCTCCGCCGCCTCCCCTCATTAGCAGGGCACCCATTAGCGGGAAGCTGGACCAGAGCCGAGCTGAGGCTGGAACCAGGCATGCCAGTGCAGAATGCAGGCATCCCAAGCAGCGACTTCAACCATGGTGCCAACGCCCACTCCCGAGAGCTCCTTTAAAATCACAGTGTCCCGAGAGTTTAAAAAAAGAAAAAAGCTAGAGTTTGCCAAATAAAACAGTGAAGATGAGACAATGTTGGAAAGAGACATATGGACCAATTATCCTGGAGAGAAAGAGCCCAGGAGACTTTCCTCAAGAGGACGGATGCCAGGCAAAAGGGAATCAACTGAGGAGTCCTAGCACTTAGGATTACTGGGAGAAGCTGGCATGAGTAAGCTGTGGAGTTTGAGCGTCTGCCTTTAAGATTAAAAAAGAACCTAAGACTTTCCCATCTGTCCAGGGGCAATCCCATCCTCCACAGAGGCCAGGCAAGAGATCAGAGGAGTTGATAAAGAGCTGGGAACCGGGACCCACCAGAAAATGGACAAATCCGAGGTTTCCACCAGCATTTTCTCCACTGAGTCCAGCATGCGGGAGTGAAAGACGATGAGGTTCATCACCTTGGCCAAGTCAGGGTTCTCATGCAGGTGCAGGGGGGCCTTGGCCACGCTGGTGTACGCCTGTGGTGCAGTTGGCAAAAAGGGAGAGGGAAAAAAAGTGAATGACAGGGCCCCTTGCCTTGGACTGCACTTGGGCCAATCAGCAGTTCTCAAAGTGGATTCGCTCCCTAACGCAGAGCTTAGGGAATAAAGAGAAAGCACTGCAGTGCAGAAGAAATCTGAAGATGAACAGGAACAATTACCTGCAGGCGGAACCAGTCCAGCCTCAATCCCGAAAATTCAAATTTCTCTCCGCTATCAACTGCAAGAAAACCAGGAACAAGCTTAAAAGGAAACAATGAAGCTGCACCTAACGCCCCACCGCATGGATCGGTGGCTCCTCTTCAAAGTCATCTCGTCCCCTCCGGTGGCTCCAAGATCAGTAGTTCCAGGAAGATGCTGACCTCCAGTGCACACATCCCCCGCGCCTTCCCCCGCCTCCAGTTACCTTGCTTGGGATTCAGAGAAGACAGAGTACTGACGAAGGAAGACATGATGATGGACTCCTCCTCAGGACACACGGACAGGTTCTGAAAGGGGCGGCAGCGGTGGCGTCACTTCAAGTGGGCATAGGTTCAGGCAGGGTAGAAAGTAGGACCATGGGGCGCAACAGGTGAATGAAGAGCCATAAAGAATTGCTAAGTGGGGGCCAGTGCTGTGGCGCAGAAGGTTAAGCATCTGCCTGTGACGCCAGCATGCCATATGGGCACCAGTTCGAATCCTGGCTGCTCCACTCCCAATCCAGCTCCCTGCTGATGGTCTGGGAAAGTAGTAGAAGTTCTTGAGCCCCTGCACCCAAGTGGGAGACCTGGAAGAAGCTCTAGGCTCCTCCTGGCTTCAGATTGGCCCAGCTCCAGCCATTGCAGCCAATGGGAAGTGAACCAGCGGATGGAAGACTCTCTCTGTGTCTCTCTCTGTCTCTCTCTCCTTCTCTCTGCCTCTGCTTCTCTGTAACTCTACCTCTCAGCTCTCAAGTAAATAAATAAATCTTTAAAAAAATTACTAAGTGCCCAAAACAGAGAAAATGCCAAACAAGAGATGGTGGGTAGTTCCGGCTAGCTAAGCCAACACCCAGTTACACTTTATTTTTCCTCTCTCTCTCTTTTTTTTTTTTTTTTTTTTTTTGACAGGCAGAGTGGACAGTGAGAGAGAGAGACAGAGAGAAAGGTCTTCCTTTGCCGTTGGTTGACCCTCCAATGGCCGCCACGGCCGGTGCGCTGTGGCCGGCGCACCGCACTGATCCGATGGCAGGAGCCAGGAGCCAGGTGCTTCTCCTGGTCTCCCATGGGGTGCAGGGCCCAAGCACTTGGGCCATCCTCCACTGCACTCCCTGGCCACAGCAGAGAGCTGGCCTGGAAGAGGGGCAACCGGGACAGAATCCGGCGCCCCGACCGGGACTAGAACCTGGTGTGCCGGCGCCGCTAGGCGGAGGATTAGCCTAGTGAGCTGCGGCGCCGGCCTATTTTTCCTCTCTTAAACGCTACGTAGTTTCATTAGGAGAAGGGAACAGAACTGAGGCAGCCATCTGCCCTCCTGATGAAGAGGCCAGTTAAATCACCCACATCCACGGCAGAGGAGTTGGGTCTGGTTCCTGTCTCTGGCGCCCAACTCTGGCTTCCTGCTACTGCAGACCCTGGGCCATGGTGAGGGCTCAGGCCCTGCAGTGCAAGACCCCAGCGATGTTCCCCAGCCCGGTCTCCAACCTTGGCCCAGCTCTGGCACTGTGGGCAACTGGGGGAGGAACCAGCAAACAGAAGCTCACTTGTTTTCTCCCTCAGCCCTCTCCGATTTGTTTTTGTTTGCGATTTTTTTTTAAGAGTGCTGAGATCTTTAGTCTTTTATTTGAGCAAACATGGAGGGGAAGAAATGGGCTTTGACAGAGCAGGACACTCAGCCAGGGTTGGCTGTACCTGAATGATGTCACTGAGCAGTAGGGCGTCAAACCTGGCCAGGTACTGCAGGTGGTACTGCTGTATCACCTTGGTGTGCTTTCGGACCAGAGCCCTCAGCTCCTCCAACAAGAAAAGCAGCTCCGCGATGCTCCTAGAAAGTTGAGGATGGGAACAGAGGGAGTGTACGGGAGGGGAGATACGAGGTAAGGTGCACATGCGGATGACGGGATGTGGTGGGGTGAGAAGGCCATGCCAAGATGGCCGCTGGCAAGCGAGCATCAGTTACTCAGGAATGGCTTTGAATCCCACCTGGCAACGGAGCCTGCCTGGCAACAGGCTGTGATTGGATGGCTTCGGGTACTGCCTGGCAACAGGCTGTGATTGGTTAGGGCATAGACCGTCCCTTGACTGTATTGGCTGTCTTGGCTATATAAGATGTTGTACCAACTGAAATAAACGAGTCTGCCGGCTGCTCGCCTCTGGTCTGCTTTCAGCCGACTCCCGGGTTCTGTGTGGTGATTCCGCGCCTCTTGCCCCCACCATGCTCCTCCTCTCAACAACGGGACAGAGCCTGAAGCCTCCCGAGCCCATTTGGTGCTTCCCTGCGCCCCTTTTCCTAGCCCACTTTAAGGACAGGGCTCTCGGTGGTGGCAACTACTAACGAGTCAGCGTAGTCCTCCGGCGTCTTTGTCTTGGTGACGTTTTCCGTGTGGCGGACCAGCCAGGTGACCTCATCACGAATGAAGGACAGGGCCATGAAAGCAAAAAGAGCCTAAGGCGAGAAAAGGGACTGTTGGAATTCTCAACTTTAAAAATGGATTTCAAAGCACAGAGCAAACGACCGTAATATGCATATGGGTACCATAGTGCCCCTTAATAAACCCTCAGACACACACATATGTCAGCACTGGCTCCAGTCAGTCCTCCTCCCTCCCTGTCCAAGAGTCTGATTCCTTCTAGAAATATTTAGTGGGCATGACGTGGTTTAACCAAAAGGCAAGCTCTGTCACCAGTTAGGTCACACTCAGAGAATCCAAACAGCTATCATCCTAGATGGACTACAATGTTGCCAAAAGGGAAGATCTTCAAGGTTTTGGGGCGTGCAATCAGCATAGTCACACACAGATAAATCCCAAAGGCTCAGGAACACCAAGACACTCCCCCTCATTGAGTGTCCTCCCATTGGTCACCAACCGCTCCCCGCCCCCAGCGCGTCCTCCTCTTGCCTTGGGCCCCAGTAGTCCTGGCTCATCGCTTAACACAGCCTGCAGCTCCTTCACCGCCATCCGCAGGAACTGGCGCCGCTGACTGTGAAACTGGCCACTGGGGAAGAAAAGGGGAAACTAGAGACCCGCGGCGCTCCTGCCCTTCGAAGTCCTTCGGGGCGGCACGGAGGGAGGCAGAAGTGAGCAGGCACCAGTGCTAAGGCTGGGGTTGGTTTGAAAGCACCGGATCTGTGGGGCAGCAGCCGGTTCTTGGGTTGAAGACTGCAACGAGGCCATGCAGAACCTCGGGGAGGTGTGGGTGAGAACGGAAGACAAGGGAAGATGTCAGCCCCTCCCGGAGGGCCCCTCGCCCATCCTTACCTGTTAGCAATTGCGTGTTCCTTGCTCTCCTTGATGTCTGCCACTCGCTTGCCGTACCTGAGCATGGACACACACACAGCAAGGTTGGCCATCCCGCTGGCTGGGAGGCCTGGCCCACCTGCCCAGCTCTCCGGGAGCCCGGGCAGCCCTCACCAGGGGTGGGGCTTCCCAAACCCTGACTGCCCACCCTGGCCTGTTAATAATTCAAGACTCCTGGAGCGCAGAGATCATTCACGTTCCCGATGAGAAAGCAAAACTCAGGGAAAGGAAAGACTTGGCAAGATGGCGGCGGGGGGGGTGCTCCTGACGGAGTGGAGGCTGCGCCTTCCTCCTCCCCCTTCCAGGCTGGGGGGCGGGCGGGCGGGGGTGAGGAAAGCTGGACACCGGTCGCTCAGGCGCTGCTCACAAGTGGTGCTGCCTCTCTACCATTCCCACCCGCTTCACTTTGTCACCTGTCTCTTGGTGGCTTCAAACTCCCCCGCCCCCCGGGCACGCATAAATAGGCTCAGAGCCTCCCTGATTCTAAAAAAGATCCTTGCTAGGCCCGACGACCCACCCGGCTTCGGCTGTTCTTCCACCAAGCTTCCCCACAGAGACACGGGTGCTGTTTTTCTTTTTATCTGCTCCGCTCTCTCTCGGATTCTTAAATCCCACAAGGCCTTCAACACCAAACAAACTGCTCTCCCTAGGGTCAGCATGAACTCCTGAATCAGCGAATCAAGCAGCATTTTCACTTGTCGGATTCTTCACAATTCTCCCAACCACGTCTCCTGCGGTTTCCTAGAGATTCGTGCTGGAAGCCCCACATTCCCGCAGGCTCTTTGCCCCTGTATTCCTTGCAGCTGTCTTCGCTCAGCCCAGGTCAGCTCTGCCACCACATCAGTGGGACTACAGAACTGCTCCTTTCCCTTCTTCAAGCCACGCCATTAAGTACACGTTGCACAATCAAAGCCAGTTGGAGTTGGAATACTATTCAGCCATGAAAAGGATGACACTCTGTCATGTGTGACCGACCACCTGCGTGGAGCTAGATGTCATTACAGCAAGTGAAATCAGCCAGGCAAAGAAAGACAGGTACCACATGACCACTCTCACACGTGGAACCTAAAAAAGTTGCCTCCTGGAGGTTGAAAGTAGGGTGATGGTGAGCAGAGGCTGGGGAGAGGAAGAGGGGAGGGGATGGGGAGAGATCGTTCAATGAGTACTAAGTTACAGTTAGGTAGGAGAAGTAAGTTTTAGTGTTTCGTGGCACAGAAGGGTGATTCTAAATAATGATGATGTACTGTGTGTATATTTTTAAAACTTAGAAGAAAGGATTTTGAACATTTTCATCATAAATGCTAAAGGTTCAGGACCGGCGTTGTGGCACAGAGGCTTAAAGCCCTGGCCTGCAGTGCTGGTATCCCATATGGGCACCGGTTCGAGTCCTGGCTGCTCCACTTCCAATCCAGCTCTCTGCTAATGGCCTGGGAAGCAGTGGAAGATGGCCCAAGTCCTTGGGCCTCTGCACCCAGGTGGGAGACATGGAAAAAGCTCCTGGCTCCTGGCTTCAGATCAGTGCAGCTCTGGCCGTTGCAGCCATCTGGGGAGTGAGTCAGTGGATGGAAGACCTCTCTCTCTCTCTCTCTCTCTCTCTCTCTCTCTGCCTCTCTGGAACTCTGCCTTTCAAATAAATAAATCTTAAAAAAAAAAAAAAAGAAATATTCACATAGTTTCACAAAAACATACACCTAAGGATGTCATTACAACATTTTGCAATGATTTTTTAAAGGAAACAGTTCTGAGTCCACCCATAATGGGCTGGGTAAATGAATTGTACTATGACCACATAACAGAAGGTTACTCAAGTATTAAAAAGAACAAAATGGTGCTGGCGCTGTGGCACAGCAGGTGAAGCCTCCCCGTGTGATGCTGGCACCCCTTATCTAAGCCCCCATTCAAATCCTGGCAGCTCTGCCCCGATCCAGTCCCTGATAATGCACTGGGAAGACAGCAGATGACTGCCAACAATGTGCCTGGGCCCCTGCCACCCACGTGGAAGACCAGGCCGGAGCTCCTGGCTCCTGGCTTCAGCTTGGCCTGGACCTTGTGGCTATTTAGGGTGTGAACCAGTGAATATCACTCTGTCTTTTAAACAAATTGACAAATCCTTTTTTAATAAGAATAAATTCAGTCTCTATAAAGTGAAAATCAAAGATATACAGAATATAGTAAGTGAAAAAAATTTTTTTAAAAACTACAATATAAGGCGTGGATCCATTGCTTTTTAAAGGACTTGAAAATACATGAGTCTCTTTATAAGTATACACATACAGACAGACATCTGGAGAATGCACAGCAGACTATTCTAGGAAGTGAGATTACAGCCAAACTCCACTTTAAATTTTTCACAGTTCTGGATTTTATATTTGCAACCAGAAAGAAAAAAAAAAAAACAATACAGGTATTTTGACCTCACCCTTCATTGTAAAACTCCTGCTCCTTGTAGCTCTCTCTATCCTACCCTTCACTGTGAAACTTAAAAGATTCTTTATTAAGGGGCCAGCACCATGGTACAGTAGGTTAATCCTCTGCCATATGGGCACCGGTTTTAGTCCCGGCTGCTCCTCTTCCAGTCCAGCTCTCTGCTGTGGCCTGGGAAAGCAGCAGAAGATGGCCCAAGTCCTTGAGCCCCTGCACCCACATGGGAGATCTGGAAGAAGCTCCTGGCTCCTGGCTTCGGATCGGCGCAGCAGACATTGTGGCCATTTGGGGAGTGAACCAATTGAAGGAAGACCTCTCTCTCTCTGTCTCTCCCTCTCACTGTCTGTAACTACCTCTCAAATAAATAAATAAGTCTTTTAAAAAAGATTCTTTATTAAACCCCTCATCTCTCATCTGCTCGTCGACTCACTGAAACCCAGCTTTCAACCTCCCCACCCAGCTGAAGGTGTTCACAGGAAGGGCACTGAGATATCTTCACAGCCAAGTCCAATGAGCGTCTATCTTCTTGTTTACTTACTTAAATTCATTTTATTTTAGAGTCAGAGACAGATGGAGAGAGATCTTCCATCCAATGATTCACTCCCCAGATGCCTGCAACCACCAGGGCTGAGCCAAACCAACACCAGGATCTCCCCTGTGGGTGGCAGGGACCCAAGCACTTGAGCCACCATCTGCTGCCTCCCAGGGTGCACACTCGCAGGAAGCCGGATGGGAAGCAGAGCCGTCATTGCTCAGAGCAGACGTTCTGATGCACGGTACGGACGTCCAGGCACTGAGCCGAATGCCTGCCCCGTGAGTGTTTTTCACTCTCCATTTCACTTGCTCTCACAGCATCCTGTAACAGAGATAACCAGTCCTTCCTTCTTGGAAGACTGTCTTCCCTCCGCTTCTGTTTTTTCTCTTCTTCTCATCATCCCTCACTGATTCTTCTGCCTCTGCCCGGTCCTTAAGTCCCAGTGCACCCAAAGGTATGCCCCATTGTTTCCACCTCCCTGTGCCTTCTTCAGCAACCTCGCCTACTCTCGTGGCTTTGAGTGCCATTTCAAACCCTCATGACTGCAGACCTCACTCCTAAACTCCAGCCTAGCACACAGCTGCTCATTACTTCAGAGTCCCACAGACACGTGGAATCCACCTGTTCCAATCTCAATTCACAGCCTTTCCCAGGACCAATTTTTGTCCATGTGTTCGAGAACTTCCGGTTCCTCCGAATTTACTGAGTTAATCCCTGTGCCTAGCTTTGCACCTCTAACTTCTTTTCTTCTCTGCAATCAAAGGGGTCTTTGCTAAAATATGCAAATCCGGTCATTTCACGCCCCTGTTGAACTCCCTCAGGGGACAGAGTCAGACTCTGGCCAAGGCTACAAGTCCTGGTTAACTCTCCGGATCTGTCTCTTACCATCGCCACTTCTGCAGCCCAGCCGCCCTCGCCCTGAACTATTTGAACTTCCCTGAGCTTGTCACATCCCCTCCTACCTCCAAAATCATGATAGTTTCCCTACAGAAAATGCTTTTCTCTGCCGTAAGCAGCTCCCCTGTGTGTCCACCCAACACACACACACACACACACACCTGCCTCCAGGTTTTCCTGGACAAAGCAAGGCCAGTGTGTGCATCCTTCTCAGTGCTGCCTAACCCTTTGTGCTTACTCATCACAGTCCCATCCCACATCACAACAGTCGGTCTACTTCCCACTGCTCTGTGAATCCTTGACAACAGGCTCTTTGTTATTTTACAAGCACATTGCACAATGTGCCCAGCATTCTCCTGCATGCTTTGCACACAGCAGCTGTCTTGTTCCCCTGAGGTGGGTTCATAGGCAGGTCACTACCGTTACCCACATTTCTCAGGTGGGGAAACTGAGGAAATGGCATGGAGAGGTTGTGTAACTTGCCCAAGGTCACACAGCTAGTAAGTGGTAGGGCTTGAATTCAAACCCAGACAGAGTCCACTCTCTTAACTTTGGTGCTATCTTATTAATTATTGTATCCCTAAAACCCAGCGAAGCACCTAGCAAGTGGTGGAGATGTAATAAATATTTCTTCGCTAGTTAGAAATTGATCCTTACCACCACGCCCAGGAAACACACATGGAAATTGAAAAGGGGTGCAGGAAGGAGCTAAAAAAAATCCCAAAAGGAAACCAGGGCCTTGGGCTTCTGAGACTGACCTACTGCACCAAGGAGGCAGGTTTCTCTCACCCTTTCATACTGCTAAACAGGTCCTCGGTGACCTTGTGCACCTGCAGCACGTCGTCCCGGATGAGGGTGATGTACAGGGAGCCCTGCAGACACAGCTTCCAGAGCTTCTGGCACTCGCTGTTGGAGTTGAGGCACCCATGGCAGAGAAGAAAGCCAACTGTAGGGAGGTAAAACCATGCAGAAGAAGACTTTTAGAACTTGCCCCCTGCATGACCCGCCCCTACCTCCTCCACCGCCCGACCCCACAGGGCTTACTTATAATCCAGCGCTCCATCACTTCCATGGACAGATACTCACAGGCCATCTGTTAAGAAGAGGCAACCGTGCAATTATGTAACCCAGTCTTCCCCTACAGAATAAAAGTCAGCCTAGAATCTGAGTGGCGAAACCAACTTTTATTTAGCTGAATTGATTATGGCACTTTGATAAGTCAACAGGGGAAACCTCCAGGCTTAGACTCTAAGTTTTTTTGAGGGAAAGACTTGGGGCCAACAGTACTTGAACAAAAAAAATTTTTTGATGAATTTACTCCTTACACTCAAATTCCTACAGGGCTAACTGATGCCTAATGATTTGGTTTCATCCATCCATTCATTCTTCTATGTCTACTGGATTCCTTCTGTGAGCAGGCACACTACTAATCCTGGTCCAAACAAAAGCTCCAACACCACTGTGGTTTTTAGCTACAAGAAGTGACTGACTTAGATTTTGCACACCCTAGAAGAGAGCTAACGCATTCTTAGGGGTGACGTTTTCTGAAAGAAGCGCCCTCCGGAGACACTGCCTGGCTGAGCGAAGGGAGAGGGAACTCACTGTGTCAGAGTTAGCAGGGTTAATCATGGCTGGGGGACTGCTGATGACACTCAGGAGCTGGGCACTGCGCCACTGCTCCGCCCCGTGGTTCCTCCGGACAAAGAGGTAGTGCAAAGAGAGGAGGGCTCCGCTCACAGCCTGCAGGGAGAAGCAAAAGCTGTCAACCCTGGACACAGTGGATCGCTGCTGGAGCGACTCCCTACTCTCTCTGGGAACCTGCCTTTGTGTGAGGCCCAAACTCTTCCGTCAGCTTCTTCAGAGGATGGTCGTACTCCAAGACCATCTGACCCAGGCGAGCAAAACTGGGGTCCCTAGAAGGAATCAGAGGAAAGAGGAGTTGGGGCCCTGCCTGAAGCACCGTGGAGATGCTTCTATGATGGCAAATAGGACAGAGATGGGGGTTCAGGCTGGTACTCTCCATCTCTCACAATACATTAAGCAGTGACTCACAGAGGCAGGACCTCCCCCCCCTCCACTGCAGCATCAGGTGGACTAAGCTACAGTGAGACAGAACCACACCATCTGGGGCAGGTCCAAGAACCTTTCTCTCTCAAAAGCTCCCAGACTAGGGTTGGACACATGCCAGGAACTTTGTAAGCTTGTGCCGCCTAGCTGGAGACCTGGTAACATGCCTGGACCCAAATCTCTGTACAGCCCAAATGCAAATATTCAGCTCTCATGGGCAAGGAACCTGCGGAGGTGCCAGTGTACACATGCATGGGAAGGCATTTCCCACACAGAACAACTTGCCACAGCCTACTCGCATCCCTCTGATCTTCAGTCCCTCAGCCCTTAAGCTGGAGGCGGGGAACATGGCAGGGTGAGGCCCACAAAATCATTCAGTCCAGCCCTGCCAAGGCAACCACAGGCAGCACTCGAATTCACTAACTCTGTAGCACGCTAGTTTTTAGTTTGATCATTTTGTATGGTCCATAAGTGAAATATCTGAGAGGGGGGCCGGCACTGTGGCATAGCAGGTAAAGCTGCCGCCTTCAGTGCAGGCATCCCATATGGGTGCCAGTTCGAATCCCAGCTGCTCTACTTCCGATCCAGCTCTCTGCTATGGCCTGGGAAAGCAGTAGAAGATGGCCCACGTCCTTGGGCCCCTGTACCCACGTTGGGGACCAGAAGAAGCTCCTAGCTCACATTATAACTTGCTTCTAATGGCTTTACCTCACTCATACTATCCCTACAAATATCAAAAAGAAGTTATTTGCCTTTTGCAATAATCTGAAAAGCAAAATGGAAGCCAGTGCAGGATTTAAAAAAAAAAAAATCAGAAATAAAGCAGACGGGTAATCCACTAGGAGTGATTCCAAAGTTCTCTACCCATCGAGGTGTACCTGGCCTTGCTGGCTCATCACACAGCTTCCAGGCTGTCACATGGGAAGTCACAGCTCTACCTCCTTGGTGTCCACCCCCTACCTCAGAGCAGGTGCATGACAGCCTCCAGAGCACAACCCTTTAACTCACCCGTGCCCGTGCAGCATCTCGTGAGCACAGTTGTACATGCCGATGAGCAGCCGTCGGTCCTCAATCCGTGACAGAAGCAAAATAACTGAGGTGTACGTGACGATCAAGTCCAGGTAGCTCCGGGTGAAGTCAAAGTTGACAGTCTACAAGGGAAATACACAGGACAGCAGGGACAGCAGCCAGCCCCGGGCGGCTCCCTGTCTCCCCAGCCACTCCAAACAGACTCGGAATAGATCTCATTTAAAAGTAGGAACTGATGGGACGGAAAATGTGGAGGAAAACTGGAACAAAAGTCCAAAGCTAAAAAAAGAAGCTCAACAGGGACCAGCACTGTGGCGTAGCGGGTAAAGTCGCTGCCTGCAGCGTCAGTTTCCCTTATGCGCGCTGGTTCAAGTCCCGGCTGCTCCACTTCCGATCCAGCTCTCTGCTAGGGCCTGGAAAAACAGTAGAAGATGGCCCAAGTCTTTGGGTCCCTGCACCCATGTGGAAGAAGCTCCTGGCTCCTGGTTTCAGATCAGCTCAGCTCCAGCCATTGCAGCCAACTGGGGAGTGAACCAGCAGATGAAGATCTCTCTCTCTCTCTCTCTCTCTGCCTCTCCTTCTCTCTCTGTGTAACTCTGTGACTCTGCCTTTCAAATAAATAAATAAATCTTTAAAAAATAAAAAAAGAAGAAGAAGAAGCTCCACATACAAAGAGGCAAAGAAATAAGGTAACATTTTGGGGGTGGAGAGGGTAGAATAAGAGTTTTGTATAATTTTTGTATTAATTGCACTGCTGCTCTGCTTGACATGTAAATTCATTGTAATCTCAGTGCTTTTTATTTAAAAAAAAAAAAAAAAAAAAAATAGCCTTGAAGCAACAACTGAAGCAGCATTCTTCTAGTCTCGCCCCACACGACCCAACCCGACCCAGACCCAGCCCAGACCTGGCCCCTTCCTCGATTCCATGGCAGAAGAGAATCATAAAGGATCTTACAATGTCAAAACGGCACTGGCAGGCATCAATGGTGTTGAGAAGCTCATACACGTGGTCCTGGGGGGAGACGGGGGAGGGGAGGGGTAAAGAGAAGGTGGCGCAGGCCGCCCGAGCTCGAGGGGAGGGGACACCCGCCTCACTCACAAGGGGTGGCATCGTCAATCAGGAGGAGGCTCCTCCTCACTCACCTCCTGTCCCACCCCCTGGCGCCCCTGTCAGTCAACTCTGCCAAATACCCACGTTCCCCTAACTTTATCACCCGTGGGTCACATTCCTCCACAAAAGAAAGCCTACAAAATGTCGAGAGTCTACTAGGTGGTTTCAAAAATGCCAAGAGTCAAACCCATTTTTATGGACAAACCCCAAAGTACACTCTTCCTGGATTCCATCTCCTTTTCTGAGGAGCAGAGCATCAACACGCAGGAACGACCCAGCTTCCCACGGGTTTCTATTTGCTGACCACTACCAAGTGTCAACTACCGCCTAGGGAATTTGTCTATATTTCTTTTTTTTTCTTTTTTTATTATTTTTTGACAGGCAGAGTGGACAGTGAGAGAGAGAGACAGAGAGAAAGGTCTTCCTTTGCCGTTGGTTCACCCTCCAATGGCCGCCGCGGCCGGCGCGCTGCGGCCAGCGCACCGCGCTGATCCAATGGCAGGAGCCAGGAGCCAGGTGCTTTTCCTGGTCTCCCATGGGGTGCAGGGCCCAAGCACTTGGGCCATCCTCCACTGCACTCCCTGGCCACAGCAGAGAGCTGGCCTGGAAGAGGGGCAACCGGGACAGAATCCGGCGTCCCGACCGGGACTAGAACCCGGTGTGCCGGCGCCGCTAGGCGGAGGATTAGCTCAGTGAGCTGCGGCGCCGGCCGAATTTGTCTATATTTCACTTAACTCTCATTCTAGGGGCCGGTGCTGTGCCATAGCAGGTAAGCTGCCACCTGCAGTGCCAGCATCCCATATGGGTGCTGGTTCAAGACCCGGCTGCCCCACTTCTGATCCAGCTCTCTGCTATGGCCTGGGAAAGCAGTAGAGGATGGCCCAGCACCTTAGACCCCTACACCCGCATGGGAGACCTGGAAGAAGCTCCTGGTTCCTGGCTTCGGATCGGCACAGCTCCGGCCACTAGGGCCAATTGCTGAGTGAACAAGCGGATGGAAGACCTCTCTCTCTCTCTCTCTCTCTCTGTCTCTGTCTCTCCTCTTTCTCTGTGTTAACTCTGCCTTTCAAATAAATAAATAAATAAATAAATAAAATTTGCCTGCTGTAGACTCACTGCATTTTGAGTCCTGCCTGGAGGCGCCTTGGCTGGGCTGGACCAGGCATTCCCCACCTGGGTTCCAGAGTGGTGGGGATTTTTCTTTTCACACACAATTCTACCCAAATAAATACACTCCCCCCACACACTGGGCACCCGCTCTCCATCCTGCCCCAGCCCTCAGGAAATTCCCCCTCACAGCCTGGTGTGCTCATCCTTAGTTTATGTAATCCTCTGCTGACAGAGAAGAAGAAAAAGGGAGACTTCGCTTATCGCGTGTGTTACAAAATTGAGATAATTTTATATCCTTCTTGTCGTTTTGAATTTCTCCCTCAACCTGGTCAAACGTCTTCAAAGCCATCTGGTGGAGAACTAACTCATTCTTCTCGACAGTCCCACAATAGCCCCTGGTTTAGCACCAGGAGCCAGGAGCTTCTTCTAGGCCTCCCACGTGGGTGCAGGGGCCCAAGCACTTGGGCCATCTTCCACTGCTATTCCAGGCCGTAGCAGAGAACCAGATTGGAAGTGGAGCAGTCAGGACTTGAACCAGCGCCCATATCAGATGCCGGCACTGCAGGCAGTGGCTTTACCTGCTATGCCACAGCGCCAGTCCTGGTACTTTTCATTTCTACAAAAGTAGAATTGTTCAAATACTATATAAATATAAATGTATGTATGTATATATATTCTCTTTTTTGACAGATAGAGTTAGATGGTAAGAGAGAGAGACAGAGAGAAAGGTCTTCCTTCCATTGGTTCACCCCTCAAATGGCCGCTATGGCCGGAGCTATGCTGATCTGAAGCCAGGAGCCAGGTTTTTCCTCCTGGTTTCCCATTGGATGCAGGGGCCCAAGCACTTGGGCCATCCTCCACTGCCTTCCCAGGCCACAGCAGAGAGATGGACTGGAAGAGGAGCAACCAGGACTAGCACCCAGCACCCATATGGGATGCCGGTGCCGCAGGTGAAGGATTAACCAAGCGAGCCACGGCACCAGCCCCTATATATTCTTTTAAAATATATTAGAGTGTACATTTGGCACAGTGGTTAAGACACTGCTTAGGATACCTGCATCGTGTATCAGAATGCCAGGGTTCAAGTTCTGGTGCAGCTAATACACACCCTGGAAGACAGCCGGTGATGATCCAAGCACTTAGGGTCCTGCCATCCCCATGGGAGACACAGGTTCAATTCCTGACTCCTAATTTCAGCCTGACCCAGCCTGTCTATTGCAAGCATTTTGGGGAGTGAACGGCGCTCCTTTTCGGAAAAAAAAAAAATTAGAGGATGGCACCGTGACATAGCGGGTAAAGCGCTGTCTGCAGTGCAGGCATCCCATATGGGCGCCTGTTTGAGTCTAGGCTGCTCCACTTCCAATCCAGCTCCCTGCTATGGCCTGGAAAAGCAGTGGAAGATGGAACAAGTCCTTGGTCCCCTGCATGCACATGAGAGACCCGGAAGAAGCTCCTGGCTCCTGGCTTCAGATCAGCGCAGCACTGCCATTGTGGCCATTTAGAGAGTGAACCAGCAGATGGAAGACCTCTCTCTCTGTCTCTGCCTCTCTATAACTCTGCCTTTCAAATAAATAAATAAATCTTAAATAAAAAATAAATGAAAGTCCCAATATGCAGACCCTCCTCCACTTCTAATCCTGCTTCCTGCTAACGTACATCCCGGGAGTCAGCAGATGATGGCTCGAGTACTTCAGATCACACTATCCACGCAGGGGACCGGGCTGGAGTTCCAAGGCTGCTGGCTTTGACTTGACCACTCTAGCTGTTGTGGGCATTGAGGGAATGAACCAGGGGATGAAAAATCTCTCTCTCTCTGTCTGCCTCTCCCTCTCTCCCTCCCTCTCCCTCTCTCTCTCTCTCCCCCCTCCCTCTCTCCCCCTCTCCCTCCCTCTCTCTCTCCCTCCTCTCCCTGTCTTTCAAATAATAAATAAACTTTTTAATAATTAAACTTGTTCAGCCGGTGCCGTGGCTCAATAGGCGGAGGATTAGCCTATTGAGCCGCGGCGCCGGCACACCGGGTTCTAGTCCCGGTCAGAGCGCTGGATTCTGTCCCGGTTGCCCCTCTTCCAGGCCAGCTCTCTGCAGTGGCCAGGGAGTGCAGTGGAGGATGGCCCAAGTCCTTGGGCCCTGCACCCCATGGGAGACCAGGAGGAACACCCGGCTCCTGCCTTCGGATCAGCGCGGTGTGCCGGCCGCGGTGGCCATTGGAGGGTGAACCAACGGCAAAAGGAAGACCTTTCTCTCTGTCTCTCTCTCTCACTGTCCACTCTGCCTGTCAAAAAAAAAAAAATTTAAACTTGTTCTTACCACATGACTGGGCAATTCAACTTCTGGATAATTCCCCCAAGTGAGATGAAAAATACATCCCCACAAATATTTGCACTTGAACAATGGCAACTTACACATGATAACAGACAAGAGCTAAAAACAGCCTAAATGCCCATTAGCAGGTAAATGGCTAAACAAATCGTATCAATTACACAATGGTTTTCAACAAAAATGAGAATGAAGCCCTGATCCGTGCAACAACCTGGGTAAATCTCAGTGGACATTACGTACTGCTCTGAGAGGCAGAAACCAGGCACAAAAGAACACGCGCCGTACAATTGCATTCATTTCAGCCTCAGAAAGAGACGTCTACAGTAGAAGGCAGATCAGCAGCTGCTGCCTGGGGCCAGAGTGCAGGGCGGGATTGACTGGAGGGAAAGGCACCTGGGAACCTGGGAAGTGATGGAAATTCTCCATACCTCGTGCTGGTTACACAAGTGCATCCATGTGTCAACACTTGCTATAATGTATAGAGAAAAATGTCTGCAGTGTATTCTCCCAACAAGGCTTTGTCTGAATTAACAGATGGGGAAACAGAAGCTAGAACAGCTAAGAAACTCGCCCACGATCACAGAGCAATTAAGGGACGGTGTCAGAATTTGAACCCGGAGCCTCTGATGGTCACGGTGTGCTAGGTGACCTGTCCACCTCCCTGCAGGTCCAGGCTGCCTCGACTACCAGGAGCCCCTTTCCACAGCCCCAGTCAGCTGCCTAGGGTCTCCAGGGGACAGCGGCTGATGAGGCTCACTTCCAGCCACTCACACAAATCATGTCACTATACAGATCTGACATTCAGAAGACCAGAATGTGAGACCTGCTGAGCACGGAGGTGCATGCCTCCCAAGCCTTGTCTCATTTAATTCTCACCCACACCCCACGTGGTAAATCTAATGTCCCCAGCCTTCCTCGTCTGAAGTCACACAACGCGTAAGTGGCAGGGCTGAGATCTGAAGCCAGGTCCATCTGACCCAGCGCCTACTGACTCCACAGCACACCATACTTTGGGGTTCCTATTTCCCTTTCTGAGGCCTGTGATGTGGTGCAGCAGGTTAAGCAGCAGCTTACGACATCAGCATCCCATAAGGGGGCATGGGTTCAAGTCCCATCTGCTCTACTTCCGATCCAGCTCCCTGCTAATGCCCCGGGGAAATCAGTGGAAGATGGCCCAAGTGCTTGGGCCCCCCACTCCCACATGGAAGACATGGAAGAAGCTCCTGGCTCCTGGCTTCAGGCTGTTGCCACCATTTGGGGAGTGAACCAGCAGATGGAAGATCTCTCTCTCTCTCTCTCTCCATGCTTCAAATAAATAGATTACATTAAAAAAAAAAAAAAAGACAAATTTCTAGAAGTGGAGTTAATACATTGGAAGTGGACACTTCGTACAGCAGTTAGGATAGTCCCATATCTGAGTTCAAGTTCTGGCTCTGTTCTGTATCCCAGCTTCCTGCTAATGAGCAACCTGGGGAGCAGCAGGTGATGTCTTGGATAGCTGGGTCCCTGCACACAGGAGGGAGACCTGGACTGAATTCCTAGCTCCTGGCTTCAGGCTGGTCCAGCCCTGGCTGTCGCAGATATTTGGTAAGTGAACCAGTAGACAGGAGATTTTCCTCTCTCTCCCAGTCTCTCCTTCTGCCTTTCAAGTAGATAAAAATAACTAAGTGAAATTTTTAAAGTATTACCATATTAATTTAGCTTTCAAAAACATTGTATTAAATAATGCTTTATATTTTTATGTCAATAAAAATAGTATATACTCATTGTCCAAAATCCAAATAAAATGTCACCCATGTAGTATTGCTACCAACAACTATTAACGATAAGACAAATCCAAATAGAAAGATATTCTGAGAAGTACATAGCCTGGACTCTTCAGAAAGGTCAATGTTATGAAAGACAAAGGCCAGAAATTACTCTAGATTAAAGGAAGACTTCAGAGACATAACTAAATCTAATGTATGATCCCCAAGACAATTGGAGAAATATGAATATGGGCTATGTTTTTGCCAGCAACATTGAAGTACATTTCCTAAGCACAATAATTACATTAGGGTTATGTAAGAAAATATTCTTGTTCTTAGCAGATGTACACTAAAATATTTTGGGACTGAAATGTCATGATGTCTCCAACTAACTCAAATGGCTTAGAAACAAAAACAGAGATTAGCAAAGATGACAAAACACTAACAATTATGGCATCCAGCAGAACAAGAGCAAAATAATACTCAGGGCACTGCTCTTGGAACTTTTCATCAGGTTTGTTATAAAATATTCGGGGAAAATACTTTAGACATTTTTTAACTCAATACAGAAACATATGCCTTATTTAGAGAATGTCTAAAACTCAGCAATAACAAAATAATTGAAAAATGGGCAAAGAACTTAAAGCACACATTATCCAAAGACAATACACAAATGGTTCAGAAGATGTACAAATGGCTAATAAGCACATAAAAAGACACTCAGCACCACTGAGCATTAGCAAAACGCAAATCAAAGCTACAAGAGATAACAACTCACACCCAGCGGGAAGGCTACTATCAAAACAGAAAATCACAAATGTTCGCAAGAATGTGGAAAAATAGCCCTTGTGCACTACTGGTGAGAATGTAAAATGCTCTTTGGAGAACTGGGTGGTGGTTCATCAAAAAGTTCAAAATAGAGTTATCGAGGGGTTGGCACTGTGGTACAGAGGGTAAAGCCACCACCTGCAGTGCCAGCATCCCATATGGGCACCAATTCGAGTCCTGGCTGCTCCACTTCCAATCCAGCTCTCTGCTAATGGCCTGGGAAGCAGTGGAAGATGGCCCAAATCCTTGGGCCCCTGCACCCATGTGGGAGACCTAGATGAAGTTCCTGGCTCCTGGCTTTGGATCAGTGCAGCTCCAGCTGTTACGACCAACTGGGGAGTGAACCAGCGGATGGAAGACCGACCTCTCTCCCTCTCTGCCTCTCCTTCTGTCTCTGTGTAACTCTGACTTTCAAATAAATAAACAAATCTTTTAAAAAATAGAATTATCATACCATCTAGCACTTCCACTGCTGAGTATATATGCCACAGAACTGAGAGCAGGTTCGCAAAGAGATATTTGGCCGGCGCCGCGGCTCACTAGGCTAATCCTCTGCCTTGTGGCACCGGCACACCGGGTTCTAGTCCCGGTCGGGGCCCCGGATTCTTTCCCGGTTGCCCTTCTTCCAGGCCAGCTCTCTGCTGTAGCCCGGGAGTGCAGTGGAGGATGGCCCAAGTGCTTGGGCCCTGCACCCCATGGGAGACCAGGAGAGGCACCTGGCTCCTGGCTTCAGATCAGTGCGGTGCGCCGGCCACAGCGGCCACTGGGAGATGAACTAACAGCAAAGGAAGACCTTTCTCTCTGTCTCTCTCTCTCACTGTGCACTCTGCCTGTCAAAAAAAATTAAAAAAAAAAAAAAGAGATTTGTACACCTCCATTCATAGTAGCAATGCTCATATTATTCACAACTGACAGATAAATGGATAAGCAAAATGCCGCTTAGCCACACAAAGGAATACTATTCAGCCTTAAAGAGGAAGGAAATTTTGCACTATGCAACAAGGATGAACTTTAAGGCCGTTGTGCTAGGTGAAATAAGCCTGTCACAGAAAAGACAAATACTTTACGGTTCCACTTACAAGAGATATTTAGAGTAGTCAAGATCAGAGAAACTAAAAGTAGATGGGTGGTGGCCAGGGGAAATTATCATTGAAAGGGTGTAAAGTTTCAGTTTTGCCCCATGAAAAGATGGTTACATGACCTTGTAGATGTCTTTAACAATCACTGCGCATTTTATCACAATGACATTGAAAACAGGGGAGCTTAGTAAATTGCTTGATGGAAGTCATAATCCATGCCCAAAGCTGGTTACTGCTGACAGTTTGATGTATGATATTCTACAGCTTTCCTCTGTCTATGCTAACACTGTGTGCGTGTAAGCTTAAGCATCCACTAAAATAAAAGCATGACATCTACGACGCTACACTTTGCATCATCTAACACTACAACTTGGATCTCTCTCCACATCAGCTCCTCACTCATTTGCTCAAGCACACAAAGCAAGACCTACTCAAGCAGGGTGCGCCTCTGAAAGGGGGTGGGGGTGCCTGGACCAAAGCGAGCTCACCCGGAACTCCATGACATCCACAAACGACTGGTAGTAGTTGGTGAGGAACCTAATGATCTCCGCTTTTTCACGATGAACCGGTCCCAGATGTTGCTGAGAGAAGCAAAAACACAACAAAATTAAAAATGCAAAGTAAAAGGATGATTGGTCACAGGAACTCAAGAGCCAGGCCGCCCCCAAAATGTCCTGGAAGAGGGTTGAAATGTGCTGGGACTCGTGAAGACTTGCCATCTGGGCAGGATGCTGTGTGTGACCCTGACCCCGGCTGAAGGGCTGAGACCAAGGTCAAGGCCGCCTCAGCTGCTCGGTTCGCCGTTTGCCTCAAAATTGAGAAGATGGTACGGGTAAGATGGTTGATAATCCGGGAATAACTTTTTTTAAGATGTATTTCAGAGTTACAGAGGGAGGGAGGGAGCCGGGGAGGAGGGAGAGAGAGAGAGAGATCTTCCATCCACTGGCGCACTCCCCTGCAATGGCCAGGGCTGGGCCAGGCTGAAGCCAAGAGCCAGGAGCTTCATTTGCATCTCCTCTATGTGTGGCAGGGGTCCAAGCACTTGGGCCATCTTCTGCTGCTTTTCCCAGGTGCATTAGCAGGGAGTGGATCAGAAGTAGGGTAGCTGGGACATAAACCGGTGCCCATATGGGATGCCAACATTGCAGCCAGTGGCTTAACCCACTATGCCACAACCTGGACCTCAGGAGCTAAGATTTACTAGGGGAGAAGTCAGGGATAACGCACGGGATGCCTAACTGTAAGACAGGGAAATGGGAACCAGGAACAAGAAGAAGGTGCCCCACCTCGCGGGGCTGCTCCAGCTGCCTTCCCCTGCGAGCGCACGGTGAACTCCCGCATCCTGCAGTGGAGAACCGGGCACCGCTTTGCCCCAGCTTCCCCTGGGAGCCTCACACCTTAGCATTCTCCAGACAGAAAACCCTATAACCTAGGAGGGCTGAAAGAGGGCTACCCCTCTCTGCAGTGTGAAGAGAGCCAGTGATGAGGGGCGCATCTGAGCCACCAAGCACAGAGGTACAACAGAGAAAGCAGACAAGGGGGGCCCCTGCTCTCACCGTGCTGTTGCGGACGTCTATGTTGGGAAATTTCTTGTTGATGTACTTGAGAGAAGATTCCATAGACTTTTCCAGTAAGAATGGCGGCTTGGACTTGGGGTCTGAACAAGTCTGCAGAGACGAACCACACGGTGTTTGCATTCCTTCTCCTCTCGGCTCGGAAACAGCCCTGCCCTGCACCGTTCCATCCCGGCCTCTCTTAGGAAAAGGCCGTCGGGGAAGTCATTCTGAAAGCAATGCCAGTGGGGCAGGGACAACTTCCAGGACTCTAAGCCCATTAGCTGAGAGCTGAGGAGCAACCCGGGCACCCGGCCTTGCTGGCGAAACCACAGCGTCTGCTCAGCCCCAGCACAAAGGGGAAGCTGTCTCCCCACCCTCTGCTGAAGCCGGAAGGAGTGAGAAAAGCAGACGCCTGGGGCTCAGGGTCACAATTAAATGCATTGTACAATTATCTCATCCCAAAGAGCATTCGCAGGTGACGTGGGGACAGAGAAGCCACGTTCCTGACGGTTCCTCTTATTACAAAATGCACAAAAGGCCCGCTCCTTAAGCCCCTATTTTCTCTTTAAGAACTCTCCAGAAAATACCCCTGACTTTATCTATTTCCTAGACTGACTCAGTCCCTGGCCCACCTCTAGCCACCAGCTTCTCCCAGTTCCAGTTCTATCCTACACATACACACACACACACACACACACACAGCATGAATTGCCCCAGACTAAGCGCCCCGGAAGGTACCTACCCCTTGAATCTAACTAACGTCTATGGCTTTCGTTTTAGAGAAGTCAGTCCATGGAAAAATGTATGCTATAAACCCAGCTTCAGGTCTCAGCAATAAACAAGAAGACCCAGAATCCTAGATCCCAGAGCCTTATCCAGCTCACTCATGAGTGGGGACCACCGCCCCACCCTCCCCATCCCCCCATCCCCAGCGGAGGTGGGAATCAAATTTAGAAAGGGGAAATGCTGTGAAGAAGCCTCCTCCTACTGGCTGGCTTGTGGGACCGGAGGGTCCGGAGGCCAAAGCAGAGTGAAGAGGAGGGAGTCGGCCTGCTGCACCTGCAGGCCAGGGTTCCCGCCCCACTACTGCTGAGACAATCTGGAGTGTCATCGCCCGTGCTCACCTTCCTGATGTTGTACATTCGGATCAGAACCCCCTGGCCCCGATCGTTCAGGATGCTGAGCTTCTCTGCTAACTTGTGCTGATAGGTGGAGGTCAAAGACATGGTGGCCACTGAGAGACAGCAGCATCGGGACAGCAATGCCTGATGTCTCCAAACACCTCCAGCCTGGGCGGAGGCACCCCGCCTAGTCGGTGCAGCTCTTCCGGTTCCCTCTACTATTGGCTCATGGGTGAAAGGCGTCATCACGGCTCCCCCCGCACTCAGAGGCCTCTTGTGCTTCCTCCTGCACACTCAGCAGGGGCGACTTCCTCTTTCCGGCTGTGCGGCACTTTGAGTAAGGCTGGGAAGTCGTGGGAGGCAGAGGAGAGGGACGGGCTTTTGAGGCTCTTCACGATGCGGCGCCAACCATTTTGGCCTTGTTCCACCACAAGTGTCCTGTAGAAGTGCCACACCGAAAACTACCTACCTCCCCCTCCACCTCTTGACTTTCTTTTCTGCTCCCATCGAGGACATCTGGGGCAGACGTTTATTGTAGACATTAAGGTGCAGGAGTACCTGGGTTCGATTCCCAGCTCCAGCTCCTCACTATAGCTTCCTGCTTAAAAAGACCCTGAGAGGCACCAGTGATGGTTCAAGTGATTAGGTTCCTGCTACGCACATGGGAGACCGGGATGGAGTTCCAGACTCTTAGCTTCAGACTGGCCCAGCCCTGGTCTTTTCAGCCTCTTGGAGAATAAACTTGCAGATGGAAGATTCTCCCTCTCTCTCTCCTCTCTCTCTCTCTCTCTCTCTCTCTCTCTCCCTCTCTCACTCTGCCTTTCAAATAAATAGATAATTAAATCTTTTTTTTAATTTCTTTCTGGGGCCAGCATTGTGGCATAGTGGGTAAAGCCTCCACCTGCAACGCCAGCATCTCATGTGGGCGCCTGTTCATGTCCAGGCTGCTCCAATTTCAGCTCCCTGCTAATGGCTAATGGCTCCAATCAAGCTCCCTGCTAATGTCCTAAGGAAAGTAGCAGAAGATGGCCTAAGTGCTTGGGCCCCTGCACCTACATGGGAGACCCAGAAGAAGCTCCTGGCTCCTGGCTTCAGATCGACGCAGCTCCAGCCATTGCAGCCATCTGGGGAGTGAACCAGCAGATGGAAGACCTCTCTCTCTGTCTCTACCTCTCTCTTTCTGTAAGTCCACCTTCCAAGTAAATAAATACATCACTTTTTTAAAAAACAAATAGGTGTTTTTGTTGAATTATTAAGACTAAACTGAGGGGGGTATCATGGCTCAGTGGGTAAGCCACCTGCTGCAAGGCCAGCATCCCAAATAGGTGCCAGTAAGAGTTCCAACTGCTCCACTTCTAATCCAGTTCCTGCTAATGCACCTGGGAAAGCAGAAGAAGGTGCCCAAGTGTTTGTACCTCTGCCATCCAGGTGGAATCCCTGGATGGAGTTCCAGGCTCCTGGCTTCAGCCTTTCCCAGCAGGGCCATTGTGGCCATCTGAGGAGTGAATCAGCAGATGGAAGATTCTCTCTCTCTCTCTCTCTCTCTCTCTCTCTCTCTCTCCCTCCCCCTCCCTCCCTCTCTAACTCTGCCTTTCAAATAAAGGAATAACTCTTTTAAAAAAAAAAAAGTATATAGGGCAGCACTGTGGCATAGTAGGCTAAGCCTCCGCCCTCAATGCCAGCATCCCATATGGGCACTGGTTCGAGTCCCGGCTGCTTCTCTTGCTATCCAGCTCTCTGCTCTTGGTCTGGAAAATCAGTGGAAGATGGCCCAAGTGCTTGGGCCCCTGCACCCACGTGGGAGTCCTGGAAGAAGCTCCTGGCTTTGGCTCAGCTCAGCTCCAGCCATTGGTACCATTTGGAGAGTGAACCAACGGATGGAAGACCTCTCTCTGTGTGTCTCCCTCTCTCTGTCTGAAACTCTATCTCTTAAATAAATAAATAATAACATCTTTAAAAATAAATAAATATGGCCGGCACCGTGGCTCACTTGGCTAATCCTCCGCCTGTGGCGCTGGCACCCCGGGTTCTAGTCCCGGTCGGGGTGCCAGATTCTGTTCTGGTCGCCCCTCTTCCAGTCCAGCTCTCTGCTGTGGCCCGGGAGTGCAGTGGAGGATGGTCCGAGTGCTTGGGCCCTGCACCTGCATGGGAGACCAGGAGGAAGCACCTGGCTCTTGGCTTTGGATTGGCGCAGCACTGGCCGTGGCGGCCATTTGGGGGGTGAACCAATAGAAGGAAGACCTTTCTCTCTGTCTCTCTCTCTCACTGTCTGTAACTCTCTCTCTGTCTCTCTCACTGTCTAACTCTGCCTGGCAAAAAAATAAATAAAAATTAAAAATAAATAAATAAATAATTCCTAGATAAATAAAATTAAAAGAAAGTTTATTTTTAAAAAAGAAAATATATGTTACAAAAACACTATGCACAGATTTCAAATATTTTGGAGGGCAGCTGTGTGGCACAGATGCCACTCAGGATGCCTGCATCCCATATCAGCACATCAGGTCCAAGTCCCAGCTTCTCTGCTTCCAATCCAGCTTCCAGAAGGCTAATGTGCATCCCAGGAGACAGCAGATGAAGGCTGCCATCCACACAGGAGACTCGAATCCAGTTCGGGCTTCCAGTTTGGCCTGGCCCAGCTCTAGTTGTTGCAGGCATTTGGGGAAGAAACCAAAACGCAGAAACTCTCTGCCTGTCTTTCTCTGTGCCTTTCAAATAAAATGAAAATAAATAAAAAATTTTTGGACCAAAATAAACTTATCTGTTAATCCCATTCTTCCATAAACTTTTTTAAAGGAGATGAATTTTTTCATTATTATTTTCATGTTTATTTGAAAGGCAGAGAGAAACACACAGAGATCTTCCACGTGGGTGCCAAGTTCCCAAGCACCTTGGCCATCATCTGCTGCCTTCCCAGGAGCATCAGCAGGAAGCTGGATCAGAAGCAGAGCAGGTGTTGCAAGTGGAGGCTTTAGCCACTGTGTCACAATGCAGGAGTGTTGGAAAGCCACAGTCTGGGGCCAGCACTGTGGCGCAGTGGGTTAAAGCCCTGGCCTGAAGCACCAGCATCCCCTATGGCTCCGGTTTGAGTCCCAGCTGCTCCTCTTCCAAACTAGCTCTCTGCTATGGCCTGGGAAAGCAGTAGAAGATGGCCCAAGTCCTTGGGCCCCTGCACCTACGTGAGAGACTCGGAAAAAGCTCCTGGCTCCTGGCTTTGGATCAGCACAATTCCAGCCATTGCGGCCATCTGAGGAGTGAATCAGCGGATGAAAGACCTTTCTCTGTCTCTACCTGTCTCTGTAACTCTGTCTTTCAAATAAATAAAAATTAAAAAAAAAAAAAGAAAGAAAGAAAGCCACAGTCTGCCAGACTCCATTCTTGAAAATTCTGGTCCAGTAGTTCCTGCTGCTGGTTCACTCCCTAAATGCCTGCAACAGCCAGTGCTGGACCAGGCCAAAACCAGAAGCCTAGAAGCTCCATCTGGGTCTTCCACGTAGTGGCAGAGGCCCAAGCACTTGGGTCATCATCCACTGCCTCCCAGGATGCATTGGGAAACTGGATCAGAAGCAGAGCAGGCAGAACTTGAACCTGCATTCTAACATGGGATGTGTGCATCCCACATGGTGGCTTTACCTGCTGCACCACAGTACTCACCCCTAAGTTTAGGTTCGAAAGCTCTTTTCCCATTACCTTGAAGAATCTGAAGATAACTGTACACCTCAGCCTTTATTTTCTGATTCACTTGATAATAAGCGTTCATGGCTCTAATGTAATCATTAATATGCAGTGAACACTTTAAAGCACCATCCTGGCTGTGTTCCTGAAACCTACCGAAGTCTAAATCCCTGGATTTATTCACCAAAATGCCCGCAGGAAAAGCTGACATTTAACAGTCTGATTCTGTGCCCTTTGTCTATGCCCCAGGCATGGAGCAAAGCAGAACTGAAATGGGCCATCCTGGGACATTTTTCTATCCCTACTGCTTATGCCACTCTTCCCTGATCTCCTCTCCCCGCCATGGCCCCAGCAAACCACACAGCCCTACTTTTCAGAAATCCCAGCTGTAGCTACTGCTTGGAAACTTGGAAGTCCTTGCAACAAGTATCCGCTGGAGTAGCTAAAGACAGGTAGCCAGTGGGGAAAGTAGGCCTCCTACTGGCAGGAAAGACGCAGCAGATTTGAGATGGTTCTTCTTAGCTCACTCCTAGAGTCTTCGACTTCAGAGATTTCAGACCAGCGTCCTCAAATGATTACAAAGCAGCCTGAACTTCAACACCATACTCTTCATTCTTCTGATTCCCTCTCCCTCTGCGTGTCTATGCTGACCTAGCTGACAGTTAGTAACCTTCCCTTGCAAAGAGTTTAATTTAGCTTGAGTTGGAGAAGGGATGAGATGGGAGAGCCATGCTGAACAGTAAATGAACCTGCCACCCCAGCCTTGCTCTCTCCAGCCCTCGAACTGACAGTGTTGAACTTCATCTACCCAGGACTGTGGGTTTTCTGAAAATTCCTATCTGTTCAACACTCTATTTTGGAGCCATTTAAAACAACCTATACAACTAAATATGTTGGAACCAGTGTTGTGGCATAGCAAGTAAAGCCAATGCCTGTGATGCTGGCATCCCGTATGGGTGCTGGTTTGAGCCCCGGCTGCTCTACTTCAGATCCCGCTCTCTGCTAATAGGCCTGGGAAAGCAGTAGAAGACGGCCCAAGTGCCCGGGCCCCTGCACCCACGTGGGAGACCTGGAGGAAACTCCTGGCTCCTGGCTCGATGGAAGATCTCCATCTCTCCCTCTTTCTGACTCTGATTTTGAAATGAATAAATAAATCTCTTTTTAAAAATGTTAATTACTGCTCTTCCAAGACGTGGAAGCAGTGGATTTCCCGTATTATCTAAGTGGCTAGGCTATACCTTTGGTTACTCAAAACGTTCACAGGTAAGACCTGAGATACCTATATCTTTCACAGCACTTTTATTTCAAAAATAGAAAATTGGCCTACATCAAGACTGCCTGATCTTAAATGTCAGTCCTTTCTTTGTCAACTCACAGGTCCTGTCATTTAGTCATTATGGAGCCAGAAGCCTTAGAAATACATCCTTTAAAAAAAAAAAAGATTCATTTTATTTTTATTTAAAAGAGTTACAGAGAGAGGGAGAGAGGGAGAGAGAGAGGCAGAGAGAGAGAGAGAGGTCCTTCATTCCGCCGGTTCACTCCCCAAATGACCGCAACGGCCGGAGCTGAGCCAATCCAAAGCCAGGAGCTTCTCCCGTGTCTCCCATAAGGGTGTAAGGGCCCAAGGACTTGGGCCATCCTCTACTGCCTTCCCAGGCCACAGCAGAGAGCTGGATCAGAAGAGGAGTAGCCGGG